TAAAGATATCTTAAAGTTTTCAAAATTACATTTTTTTCTATACGGAAAAAAAAATTTGGGCCCTTAAATTTATCCCAAAAAATTGGATCCGGAACAATTGCTCCACTTGCACACCCCAAACGCCGGCACTGCTCTTTACCTTATATCTTTACCGTTTAACTTAGGCCTTGAATGGAGCGGTGTTTTAGTAAGTGGTACATGTTGCATCGCACCGATACAATGTTAGCCATTACACCTATATAGATTTCTATGATTTTTGTTTTTTTGTTTTCAAATATGTGTAAAAAGACCTAATTGACAAGTAAATTAAAACCTAAAAGAGTATCAACAATGACTAGTCCTATATAAAAATACGAGTTAAATTGGAATTACATGGCATTAGATAAACTTGTGGAAAATGCAAAGGTGATAAAGTTTCCATTAATGATTAGTTAGTTTACGGCGGGATGGGTTAAAAAATTGATTGGGGAACAAGAAAGCGACAGAATCTGAAAGCGAAGAGGATTATCTTCGTATTCTAACGTTGACAACCAAACACCTAGGAATATTAAGCTTGTAAAATGCGCCATTTTGGACTAATTAATCCAAAAATCCTCATGGGATCATGTGCATTTCCTTAATCTAATGTTTTCTAAGGATATTTTCTTATACGCAAATTTAAAATCTTTGGCGGGTGACAGTTCTTCATATGCCAACACGCAATTCCACTCCTCTAAGAACAATTATTTTTAAAACGTATCACAATATATTTAATGACTCTAACCAAATTAATAATACCTGTAAAGAAGAACTAGGTATGTGGCCATGTGCATTGAGGTTTAGTTCCCTAATTAAGTATTCACTTCCAATGGACAAGCCGAACATACATTGACCAACAGGAACGTAATGCGGAAATTATTAATTTACTTCTTCGATGTAATTTTAAATTTCATTTGTTACATAACCTTGGTATTTTTCTCAAAACGGATTTTGAAATTGTATTAATGCCTTGAAAGATATGAACACGGTATATAATTTAGTGGCTCGAGATAGTTGTACACTTATACTCGGGATTTGCTTTATAGTTTATACTCGTATCATAATACTTTTTATTTAATAATCTTGGATTTCAGATTGAAAAATGAAAAAGATTATGTTTAAGATCTGCAATTCTAATAAAACTTTGGTAGTGTTTAAAAATGAGTCTGTGTTAAGTAAAAAGAAACGTAATATTTCACAACGACTAACAATGTTTAAAGAAAACGACTAACAAATTTTTTACCGCTAGATTGTAGTAGCGGATTTTGAAATGTTTAACAGAAAAGACTAGAACAAGATGATTATAGGAAAAATCAGATATGCAAGCAGTAAGTTACAAAATGATTAATATCAAAATTTATTTGAATTTAGTCTCATTTTCTTCCCAACAAGGATTATTTATTGTAAAATTTACCTAGTTTGCTGATAATTAACGTAGCATTTTAAGAAAAGAATTAAACAAGAAAGAGAAAGAAAAGAGAAAAAGAGATTGGGATTGAGATGCATGTGACTGGCAATGACATAAAGATAGCGGTTCGATGTTTTGGAATTTGTTAAAAGAGTTGGCAAAAGATCATTCATTGCCATTTTACCTTGCAACGCACTTTAATAGTATTTTCTTAGTGAACAACAAATTAGTACTTCCTCTGTTTCAAAATATATATAAAAAATTTAAGATAAATACACACATATTTAGATAATTTATTTTTCTTTTAAAAACATTATTTATATATAGTTTAAGAAAAAATTCAACCAATCATAATATGGACTGCAGAATATAAATAGTCACAAATTATCAAATGCATTTAAATTTACATTGAAACTAGCAAAACATCTTATAAAATGAAACAAAACAAAATCTTATATAATGAAACAGAGGAAGTATTTTTCATTTGTCAATGGTCGAAACTATTATAATTTTAGGCTATATATCCTATATATATTTGTCCAAAAAAAAAACCTATATATCAAAAAAATAAAAAAAAATATATGTAGTATACACACATGCCAGAAGTTGGACTTAACTCTTCTCATATAGCAAGTAAATACATAATCAATCCTTATAAAATATTCGTTCTTCACTGAGTAAAAATTGTACGAGAATGATGAAAAGTGAAACATGTAGGCAGAAAAAGCAGCATATCATCATTGAGATGGATCAATCGATATACATCGATCTTCTTCCGAAGGATGTCTAAACATATATGTCCTTTCTTGAAAGATTCCAGGATCTGATAGAAAGATGAAAATTATAAGAGAATGATGAAGAGTAAAACATTTCGCGAGAGAAATCAGCAGATCATCACTCAGATGTATCATTCCGAAAACATCAATCATTTCCCTCAGTATGTCTAAGCAAATGTGACCTTTTTTGTAGGAATCCACTATCTCATAGAAAGAATCAACAAGCTTCTGGTTTTGACCAAGAGAATCAAATTAAACCAAAGGAGGACGTAACTTCTCTCTGTTGCTTTGTCATCCTCCTCCGCCACTCCTTCCAATTGGTTCCAACGAGACCAATGCTTCATTTTGAATCGAGAAATTAGGGTTTAGAGAGAAATCAAGAAATCGAGAATTTAGGGTTTGAGAAATCTGAGAAATTAGGGTTCTTGAGAGAAAGAAAAGAGAAAGTTTTGAGAGCGTATTTTGAGATCTCGGTATACTAAAGGTAAAAATAGCCGTTGCATACGCCTCGTGGAAAATACGATACGAGATTTTACTTGCAAATATGATATCAAGATTCAAATGTATATTTGCTATTGTAAAACAGGTTTATAAAATTTATTTGACTTTATATTCACAAATTTTTATTTATTTTAAAAAGTTGAAATCAAGACATTATATGTGTAGGTGGGGCAGAGCCGATTCCGTGGAAAACAAGGATGAAAGTAGCGATTAGTGCGGCAAGAGGGCTTGCTTTCCTTCATGACGCTCAAGTCATATATCGAGACTTCAAGGCCTCCAATATTTTACTTGATTCGGTAGGATTGAATAACTAAATATACATCTCTTTAGATGTAAGAAAACTTGTCTCTCAAGTTAAGATCATGGAGAGCCTTGCAAATGTTATATCAAGATTCAAATGTATATTTGTTATTGTATAACAGTTTTGTACCGACCAGACCGGTCCGGACTTAAATTGCGGGCTTCGGGCCGGGGCGGACTAGCCCGATTGACATGCCTAACTACGATACATATTTTTGATTGTTTGTATATTATGTATTTTTTGTTTATATAAATTAAATCAGATTTTGTGGACATTTTGATTTGTGTTCTTCTTTATTAGTAAGTTTATCCAATTTTTTTATTTTGAACTAAGATTACAGAAATTTACTATATATATGAACACAAACATGTCTTTAGGGTTTGAGAAAAGAGTGGAAGAGTGGCATATGTATTTATAATGGAGTGAAGGGGGTAATAAGATGTGAGGAGAGTGCAGGGCCGGTCCTATGATTTAGGTGGCCTAAAGCATTTTTTAAATATGTGGCCTTTTATATAAACATTAATTTTAAAAAAAATTATATTTAAATATTAGAAAAGTATTAAAAATCTTTAAATGTTTTTAATAGTCTTCGAAATTATTTACACCATTTGATTTGTCGAGGGTTTTTTTTGTTTGAATAAGAAATAAATGTCTTATTTATAAAACCAAATATTAAAGGTTTTTTGTGAAAGAAAAAAAGAATTAAACTATCAAATAAAATAATAAGTGAACTGAAGAAAAAAAAAAGAGGGGAAAGTGCCCACGAAAAAAACAAAACTGCTCACGGAAAAAGAAAGAAGAAAAACGAGTGCCACAAAAAAAAACACATAAATGGCTAGGGGAGGATTTGAACCAGTACATCTGACATAAAATTGGACTATTTAACCAGCAGACCAAAGAGTTAATTTAGCAAATGTGGCCCTCTCGTTTACTCTTATATTATGTGGCCTAAAGCAAGTGCTTCACTTGCTTTATGGACGGGCCGGGCCTGGGAGAGTGTGGGAACTCTGAACCTGGACGTAAATTGGGGCTTAATTAGGGGGTTGAAGAAATATAGAATTGTATCGAAATGAGTTAAGGAATTTAAACTCTCTTTTTTTCTTCTTATTTTTCGCAAGATATGTACTTCTCGAATATTACGTGATTAAACGTTTTTATGTTATGACTTGCATCTTTGTACATGCTCGTTTACGTTGCTCTAATTAATATTACTTTCTTTTTCCTTATATGTTGGTTCAATTTGAAAGATATAACTTGGAGATTAAGGGGAATAAAAAAACTTGGAGAGTATATTATCAAATATTTTTCTCTGTTTTGATGTATTTTGTAGAACATTTTTGCATATTAACAAAAAGGGAATTAAGGAATTAAGTTGAGTACAGTAAAACCTCTATAAATTAATAATGTTGGGACTAGCAAATTTTATTAATTTAGAGAGGTATTAATTTATCAATAAATTAATAATTATTAATTTATAGAGAGATTTTACTAATTTTATAATTTCTTAAAAATATTTCTATCTAAAATAATTTTTTTTCTTTATAAGTAGTATCTTTTAAAAACTAATTACAAGTAGATAAGCAATTATTAAGTTTAAAAAAACAACACAAACTTTTTTTGAATAATAGAGTCATATTTTATTAAATTTTTTACATAGAATATTTTAAATATATATCATAATAATTCAAATATAATATATATAAATTTATATCATATATATATATATATTGATAAGTTTATACAATTATTAATTTATGATATCGATTGGACCATATGTTTATATGAGATTTTCAAAAAAATTATTCTTATTAATTTTACGATTTATGTTATATTTTACACTTGTCCCAACTTGGGACTGGAATAATTTATTAATTTAGAGAGGTTATTAATTTATAGAGGTTTTACTGTAGTAACATACTATATTTCGGAAATATGATTTTTTTTTAGTCAAAGATATTTTGGATATATGAAAGCAGACCAAATCAGAGAAGAGTATTGAGTGGTGCACACGTTTGTTTCTATTTGACCATCTCATTTGCTTTTCTTTTGTCTTCTATGTTCCTTTTGTTCTCCCCTGTTTCCTTTTACATTGCTATGTCTCTATCCTCTGTTTCTTCTTCCCATCTTCTCTCTGCTTTACTTTTAATCTTTTGTCTTGTATACAGATTCTCATCTTTGCTTCATCGGACATGATACTTTTCATTTCAGTTCTTGCATCCAAGTTTTTTTCTTTTTCTGCTTGTCTCTAATGGGCAATTGCTTTGATTCTTCCGCAAAAGTAGATAGCAGAGAAAGTCCTTGTCGTGGTATGCAACAAAACACCTCTCTTCTCTTAGATTTCTCTAGTTGTTGTTGTTGTCATATCTTACTTTTGATTATAAAGTCTTAAATTGAGTTGAGACATCTTTGATTAGATAAAGTGTTGATTCATCAGGTTTATCAAGAATCTCTGCCAAAAGAAGTCAATCGTCTCGGTTTTCAAGCTTAACCATACAATCACCATCTTACAACGATGACAGTAGTTTGGCGTCTCTTCAAATGCCGAGAAGTGAAGGAGAGCTCTTAGCATCTCCCACGCTAAAGGCGTTTACATTTAACGAGCTAAAGACAGCCACTAGGAATTTCAGACCCGATAGTGTTATTGGTGAAGGCGGTTTTGGTTATGTCTACAAAGGATGGATCGATGAACGCACTTTATCGCCTTCAAAACCGGGGTCAGGCATGGTCGTTGCTGTCAAAAAGCTTAATGAAGACGGGTTTCAAGGACACAGGCAGTGGTTGGTACGCTTATTTAATTATCCCCTCGATATGTATCAACTTTAGGCCTTTGATTAGCAATAGAAACCAAAATGGAAACCTAAAGAGGGAATTGTTGATTTTACAGGCGGAGGTTGATTGTCTTGGGAGGCTTCACCATATCAATCTTGTGAAACTAATTGGATACTGCTCAAAGGGTGATTTTATTCGGCTTTTGGTGTATGAGTACATGCCAAAGGGAAGCTTGGAGAATCATCTCTTTAGACGTAAGAAACTTGTCTCTCAAGTAAAGATCAATGAGATACTTTGCAAATGTTATATCAAGATTCAAATGTATATTTGCTATTGTGTAACAGATTTAGAAAATTAAGTTGGCTTTATATTCACATTTTTTTTTTTTCATTTTAAAATTTTGAAATCAAGACATATTATATGTGTAGGTGGGGCAGAGCCTATTCCGTGGAAAACAAGGATGAAAGTGGCGATTAGTGCGGCGAGAGGGCTTGCTTTTCTTCATGACGCTCAAGTCATATATAGAGACTTCAAGGCCTCCAATATTTTACTTGATTCGGTAAGATTGAATTACTAAATATAAATGTTTTTGTTCGTCAAATTTCAATCTTAAAAATGTTAGAGATTTATTACAAACCAAAACAAAAGTATTTGTTGAAGTTTTGATTGAAAAAATAAAACTTATCGGATCATAAACATATATTGGTTTTCGTTTTGACTCGAGCATTTCCGTTTGATTTATATGTCCATCTTTACGTAGGAATTCAATGCAAAGCTTTCAGATTTTGGATTGGCGAAAGTAGGACCAACCGGAGACAGAACACACGTATCAACCCAAGTGATGGGAACTCAAGGCTATGCAGCACCTGAATACGTTGCCACTGGTCGGATAACGGCCAAAAGCGACGTCTACAGCTTCGGTGTGGTCTTGCTCGAGTTACTGTCGGGACGTCCGTCCATAGACAAATCGAAAGTAGGAGTGGAACGAAATCTGGTTGATTGGTCAAGACCTTACTTAGGAGACAAAAGGAAAGTGTTTAGGATAATGGACACAAAACTTGGGGGACAGTATCCTCACAAAGGAGCTTGTTTGGCCGCTAATACTGCGTTGCAATGTCTTAATCAAGAACCTAAGTTGAGGCCAAAGATGTATGATGTGTTATCTACTCTTGAAGAGTTGGAGATGACGTTGAAGTCGGATTCTACTTCAAACTCGGTCATGACATTGACATCTTCTTCCTCTTCTTTGACGGCGAAACAGAGAGTTAGAGCTCCGGTTGCTGATGCGGTGTTGTCTACTAGAAGATGTCGTCGTGTTCAGTGAAGTAGCAACATAACTAGTTAGGCTTTATGAGTGTATGCATTTTTTGTTTTTGTTTTGGAAAAGGTGCTACTGTGTGCGTTTTTGACTTCCATATACTATTATTACAATACACACTTTTGTATATTATTCTTTTTATTTTATTCAAATCAGATTTTGTGGACATTTTCATGTGTTCTTCTTTATTCCTCTTTAGTTTTGATGATGAACAAGTTTGTTCTATACTTCTATATGAAGAAGGAGGAATGTTTGAAGAATTGTATGGATCCACATATCTAATTTTGACAAAACATTATTTATGAATGGTGAATATTTTGAAGAGCAAAGAAGTATTTCTCTTATTTTTCTAAACCAAAATGGTTACCACTTAAAGTCATTTTCTTATAATGTGTATCATAAATCCGCTCTAAACTCCTCCCCAATTAGGGACGGAATTATCATTGTCACCAAGTTTTAGCTGTTTGATTCTTGCAATGATAATTCTCATCTAATTTTGTTGTGATGCACATTCATCCCGAATAATTTTTGCAAACGAAATTACTAATATTTGCGACAGAAAATCCCATCCTAGAAATACAAATTCTTGTAACAGCCATGGCTATGTGTCAATGTGTGTGTTTTCAAATGACTAAATTCAAATATTGCAAATGACTAAAGTAATTATAACGAATTTGGAAAATAAATAGAATAAAAACGTTAATAACAACAAAAAATGCTAGTAAGTAGTGACAATAGAAAATTACCAGACGATGTTTGAATAGCTTGAAATTACCAAATATCATCTGGAGTTCCTCCAAACACTTCAGTAAAAAAAAATTACGAAAATGGAGAACCTTTTTTCAATGAAGTGTTCGGAGGAACTCTTGAGAATATTTGATCGAGGTGATACTTCATTGTAAGTTATCCAATTTTTCTTTTGGACTAAGATCACAGAAATTTACTATATGTATGAACTCAACAGGGTTTGAGAAAAGAGTGGAAGAGTGGCATATGTATTTATAATGGAGTAAAGTGGGTAATAAGATGTGAGGAGAGTGTGGGAACTCTGAACCTGGACGTAAATTGGGGCTTCGGGAGTTGAAGAAATATAGAATCGTATCGAAATGAGTTAAGGAATTTTAACTCTCTCTTTGTTTCTTCTTTTTCGCAAGATATGTACTTCTCGAATATTACGTGATTAAACGTTTTTATGTTATGACTTTCATCTTTGTACATGCTCGTTTACGTTGCTCTAATTAATATTACTTTCTTTTTCCTTATATGTTGGTTCAATTTGAAAGATATAACTTGGAGATTAAGGGGAATGAAAAAACTTGGAGAGTATATTATCAAATGCAGCCACGTTATCGTTCATATATAACCGTGTTTTACGAAAAATTACCAATGATTTCATCATAACCAATGCAACTAGATTGTGATGGTTTATTTTAATGGTTTCGTTGAAAAGCTTTTACGGTTATGTTTGTATATGTATCAACTTATGGTTTTATAGATATTTATCTAGTTCAAAAGAATATACTACATTTCAAAATATTATTTTTGTTTCATAAAGATGTGATTTTCATTTTCAATTTTAACTTTTACCTTTTGTATTCACTTTACCCTAGTAATTTTAAATCTATTACATAATTAGAGCAAAAGTTGTAGAGTAACTCCCAGTATAGATACTGTATGTTTAAGATTATGAACTTAAAAAGATGCTTAATTTTTTAAAATATAATATTTTTTTCGTAGGTTGAAATAACATGGGCCAACAACAATAACAACAGCAAGTAGAACGAAGCCCAATATACAAACCCAACAATTGGAATAACAGAAACAAAGACACACACGTGAGCTCAATCTCTCAGAAGAGTGTGAGAGAGGAAGAGACAATGAAGAACGTTTATGCAGAAAGAGAAGATCGTTCGTACAAAACTCGATTTTTATCCTCTAGAATCCCAATGTGATGACTGAGAAGGACAGGTGTCCACTGATAATCCTTCCCACTTTGTGTATAAAAGAGAGAGTATCGTGAAGATGGATTGTGTTGAGAAATTTGAGTAAAGGAGTAAACTTTACCTAAAACTTCTCTAGTTCTCGCTCGAAAAGTTGCTGAGATGAGGAATTACAGAGACCCCATGACTGATGAAGACGAAGATTATCCACTTAAGTTAACTAAGAAGCAGATAAATACCACAAGGTCTGTGATTTTCTCTGTAAAGTTTCCTCTTTTATCCATCAATCGTAGGTTAAAATGTGACCTGGTTCAGTAATTTGTATTTGTTTCGCGGATTTGTAGAAAAATGCTGAAACTTTCAAGTCCAAAATGTGCCACCAGTGTCAACGGAACGACAGAGGACGTGTCGTGGAATGTAAGAATTGCAGGAAAAAGCGTTATTGCATCGCATGCTTACGAATTGGGTATGCTCTTCTTTTTGGAATGGTTTAGTTCTTAAAAACTTGGTCTTGTTTTGGAAGAAGAAAGGCAAAGGCTTTAGCTTTTAAGCAGAAATTCTTGTTGATGCTAGTGATCTTAGCTTTAGAGACTCGCTTACTTAATTTTAAGCTGGATAAGTTTTACAGAAGTCTGAGAGATGTTTGTTTGACTGCTATTTATAGTTACCCGCGTATAGCAGAAGAAACTATTGCCAAGAAATGTCCATTCTGCTGTAATACTTGCAATTGCAGCCGATGCTTGGGCATGAATACTACATTAGATGTAAGCTTTCTCGTATCTACCATATCTCTCTCTCTTTGTAGTTTATTTAATGTTAGTCATTATTCCAAATAATATGTAGGGTGACCTCAAGGTCAGCAGGGATGAAAAAAATCAGTATTGTTCGGATGCTTTTTCCCACACGTGAAGGGGATAAATGATGAACAAACTGCTGAGAAGGAAATTGAGGAGGCAAAGATTTTAGGTACTTTCTCTGGTTTTTGTTGTGCTTGAAAGGGTGCAGTTTCTCTTGCTGGTAATTGATGGTTTGATTGGTTTTTGTATCAATCTCTTGCTATTATCTGTAACTAACTATTTTCATTATACTAGCAAAAGGATGTCTTATTGTTGTTTTAATTTCACAGGGATGGAGTTTGAAGAGGTGAAGCCCCAAGCCACTAATTGTTTACCTGATGAAAGACTACACTGGTAAATTACCTTGACAAGAATATGACAAGTTTTTAGATCATTATGTTGTTAGTAACTTGTTTCTTTCTTGTTTTGATTCCTTTGACTTACAGCAACATTTGCAAGACCCCAATCTTTGATATTCATAGGAGTTGCTCTAGCTGTTCATCTGATATTAGTCTTACTTGTTGCCTCGAGATCCGTAATGGAAAGCTTCAGGCATGTCAAGAGGATGTATCTTGGAATTATTATATTAACAGAGGTTTAGAGTATGCACATGGAGAAAAAGGAAAGGTTATTGAAATGACAAATGATAAGCCGAGTAATGAAGACCGTGTGAAGCTCCCATCTATGTGGAAAGCAAAGTAAACTGGAAGCATTAGTTGTTATTGTGGTGCTCGTGATTTGGAGTTAAGAAAATGCTGTTGAATCTAACAAGCTTTTGGATTTACCTGAAACGGTTATGGAGCGATGCCCTTGTTTTAACTCTCATGGTCATATTGATAAAGCCAACTATAAAAGGTTAAAGGCTGCTTGTCGAGAAGGTTCAGAAGACAATTATCTATATTGTCCAAGTGTAAGAGATGTTCAAAAAGATGATTTGAAGCATTTTCAGCATCACTGGGTAAAAGGTGAGCCTGTGGTTGTGAGGAATGCGCTCGAAGTTACACCTGGTTTAAGCTGAGAACCAACTGTAATGTGGCGTGTCCACCGTCAGATAAACTTCACCGAGCATGGAATACGTCCTGATGTTAATGTTGTTGATTGTCTAGACATCTCTGAGGTCAGTATATTCCTCAGTAATTGTATCGCATATAGATAAGGTCCATCTCCTTTCTTATATAAGTTTGTCAATGCCTAAACACTTCATAGCTGTAATTATAGTCTGCTTTTTAACACCTATCAAGAACTTTATTTTGATGATTTCGATACTTGAATAGCTATGTTAATCTAAATTGTATCGACGTCAATATTACACATCTAACCTAGTAAACTGTTTTTTTTTTTTGATACGGGTCATTTCGTTTTCTGGAAGATACATGTAGAATTAGTGGTTGGTTGGAAAGAAACTGCTGAAAACCTCACAAGAATACAAAATGGCACATCTAATGACATATATTTGGTGCAGGGAACAATTCATCCTCGCGAATTCTTTACTAGTTATACAGAAGGCCGTTATGATTGCAAGGATTGGCCACAAGTTCTGACACTGAAAGATCAGCTTCTTTCTAAGTCCTTCAAAGATAACTCGCCACGCCATTGGGAGGAGTTCTTATGCAGTTTGCCTTTGAAGCAGTATACTCACCCAGGTTATGGACCTTTGAATCTCGCTGTAAAATTTCCCGAAAGTTGCTTGGAGCCGGACATGGGGCCAAATACTCACCCAGGTTATGGACCTTATGGATTTGCTGAAGAATTTGGTCGTGGAGATTCTGTCACTAAGCTGCACTGCGACTTCTCTGTTGTGGTTAGTACCCACATGATTTGTCTTTTCTCTTGTTTGTTTTCTTTTTTTTTGTTATAGTTTTGTCAATTCTTCTGAATGTTTTTTCTTGGTATACCATAATGATTCCAGATCCTGTCAAAACAACATGTTCAGAAAGCAGTTCATTATATTTTCTTTATTACATTTAGGATTAGTTTGATCTTACTTCATTTCTGAATCAGTTCATTGACATATCATGATCATGTCTTTCTGTTTTTCGGGAAAATTATCTTTTCGAATTTGAGTTGAGCTATACCCAGCTCCTTTGGAGCTTTCTTTAGATTTGTTGAATCATATCTCCCGTTCTAAGGCTAAGAATCAAGTGAATCTCCACAATCTTCTGTTAGGATTTTGAGATCATGATATCTAACTAGAAGTTTTTGTGTTCCTCATAGGATTGGACCAACCATTGTCAAAGTTCCATTCAATATACTTTGATAAGCTTAGTTTTGTTGGTGGATCATTTCTCAGACCTTTGGAGGATGGTTCTTTTAATAAATCTGGAAGAGATGCAACGGTATGGGCTAGTGGATTCTTAATGCTGCATTTTGAGAAATCTGCTAGTGCTCTATAATTTTCAGAACACAACATGTCTGTTTGTTTTGTTGTCACAGCCGACAACGATGAAACTGAATTCATTTTGCCGTTGCTGGCTTAAATTTTCTAATATATTAATTGCTGTCTGGTTTTTTTCTGGTGAATGTTTTAATGCATATATGTGAAGTGCCCATCAAAAACAGGAACACAATGAAAAGAATAGAAAAACTGAAAGAGCAGCATGCTTAACAAGATCTCAGGGAGCTGTTTTGTTCAGAAGCTAACAATGAGGTTCTTGAACAAACTAGTGAAGAAGTGGAATATATTGAAACTGATGAAGGGGCTCTTTGGGACATTTTCCGTAGAGAAGATGTTCCAAAATTAGAAAAGTACCTCGAGAAACATCACAAGGAGTTCAGACATATGTACTGTTGCCCCGTAACTCAGGTACACATTTTTTTTCATGGGCTGTGTAATGTGTAGGCATTGAACCATGGACCTTTACTCAGAAGCTTTGAAAGTTAACTTTGTTTTACCTTTTTCTGCTTAGGACTCAGTGGATTTGAGCAATTGAGGTCATTGTAGCTCTCTTGTTTCTTGCAGTCTTGCATAAAGGTAGGGCATGACTTTGTCTCACCTGAAAATGTCAGCGAGTGTTTCCGATTATCAAATGAATATCGTCTACTTCCACCAAACCATGATTCAAAAAATGACAAGTTTGAGGTATGTTTTGTTGTTGTTGTACTCTCTCTATTTCTTTTTTTTTTTTTTTGTGAAAAAATCAGTTCATCTCTAAATGTTTATTTTATTTATTTTTGCATTGGTTTTAACAGATAAAGAAGATGATAGTGTTTGCAATGGACCATGCTCTCAAATACTTAAATCAAAGTTAAAAGGAGTGTGTTTGTACTTCCTCTCATTTGGTGTATCACCTCGTCAAAAAATGATCTATTTTGGTTTACAAATTTGTACTTTCTCCGCAACTAACGTTATTTTTAAGTCTATGAAATGCTACTAGTTATCTTTTGCCTAGTCGAAGAAAGTTTATTTCTATCTCATACAAATCAAAATTAAGTGCAATCGAACCATTAAAATTTTTTTAGAAAATAGAGAGAGAGTGGAAAAAAGAAAGTGTTCTTTCAAAACGTTACTTTTAAAACTCTAGCTTGAGACATTGTTGGAAATGACACTACAAAAAAAGGGGTGATTAACGTCAGTTTTATTGTGTCAAAAAATTAACTGACGCAAATTCGAATTAATTAATAATAAGTGACACTAATTTGGCTGTTCAACATCATTTCTAATAAGTGATGTAAATAGCACCTGATTTATGACGTTTGTTTGAAATTGATGCTAAATAATCTAAATTTGCATCACTTTTAACAAGCAACACTAATAATTCGTATTTATAACAGTAATATAACTGATGCTTTTGCAAATTTTTTCGTATTTTTAATAAAAAAAAATTTGCATCAATAACAAGTAATACTAATTTAACCTCAATTATAAAACAGATGCATGTATGTGACTTAATTATTATTGTTTGGTCATGTTAATATAATATAATAAAACATTAACTAAATAAGAATAATGTTCTACCCATGTGAATAGAGTAGACTCAAATTAACAAAAATACAAAATGACTCTTGCAAAGCCCATCTAAGTAAAGCCCATATATGTTCATCTTCTCTTTCGCCGTTGGCCATTACACATCTGCTCTTCTTCGATTTTGCTTCAGTTTTGTTTCCAAAAGAATATTAAAGTAGATGCAAATCAATTTTCTTTGTTTCCTTTGTTTGTAATCCATTGTTGGATTGAGAGTACGGTGATTTCCGATGATTCCAAGCTCCGCCGCTTTTATCACGATGCCTTCGATAGAGCAAGAAGCCGTCTTCGATTTGATTAACTATCTATGGATGATTTTGATTTGTGCTTTGGAAATTTCATGAAGAGCAAAGAGAAGTCTCTTAGAGCATGATTATTGGTAGTATCTTAGAAATAAATCTTAGAAATATTTAAGTAATATATTTGTAAAAGTGATAGTTAAGAGATGGTATTTTTGGGTTAACATTTTTGTGTGATTAATGGTAGGTTCTTAACATGTAGTTCTTAGAAGAAAAAAATATTAATATAAAAATAAAATTTATAATTATAGAAAATTTAATAATTGTTGCAAATTAAAAAAATTAAAACATGAGATACAATTTATAATGAGAAGATGATGCCATTTACAATGTAGAATTGTTTTGGATTTTTTTTTGTGTAAAAATAGAAGCCTTGGCGTAGATAAGAAATTGGAGATTTTAGTTCTAGGAAAGAAAAAGAAGCCTTGGAGATTTTTGTTGCAAGTAACTGTTTTTACTTTTTAGAGTAGAAAAGAAATAGAGGCGTTGGTGTTTTTTTTGTTTGAAGTTTGTAAGAAGAAAAGAGTCTAAAACTTATTGATATTACAAAGCGATATTACATGGTCATATTTATAGTGGACTACACAAAACATATACATGGTTAAGAAGCAAAGTTACTTGTGGTACAAAGCAAAGTGAAACATGTGGTTACAATGAATACTTGTCATGTCCGTGAACAAAGTCTCATGTTCTTATCTTCCCCACCAAAAACAAGCACTCGGGATCCAACCAGTGTAATGGAATGTCCACCACGTGAAGCCTAGAAAACATATAAGGTATATAACTAACTATCCAAAACAGCTACATATGGAGCGAGCAATAACTTAGATAACAGTTTTCTTACCAGAACATTCCCAGACACATCAATGACTCCACATAAATGTGTTTCCAAATCAATGAACCGCACTGTAAGAAAAGAATTAAACAAACAAATAAGAATTTGAAAGAGCATCCAATCAGAAGCAAAGCTGGATATGGCTAACCTGACATGTTATCTGATGACTTCTTGGAGTGTCCCCCAATCAAAAGAAGCTTGTTTCCCCACTTAATCTGCCAAAATGCTTCAAGTTTAAACATTTTTTAAGTATTGATTACAAAATTCTTCTTCATGTAAAGGACTTACCATGCGGTGGTCTGAAATAGCAGGAAAAGCTTCCCGTAAACTGCTACCATCATCCTCTTGAATGTTCTCAGTACTTGATGATTCAGTTTTCAGTTTCAAACTCGACCAAGTCAAACTTCTAAGATCAAACACCTGATGAGTTGAGTTTTTCAAATTACCACAGATTCATGAAAACAAAAGGAAGATACAGACCCAAAGAAGAAAACACAGAATTTACCTGGACATCAGATAAGTATCGGCCATTACGGCTTCCACCAACAATGTAGAGCTTCTCATCAACAACCACTACCGCATGCTGCAAATTCCAGAGAACACACGAAAAGGTTTAGGGAGAAATTATCTCCAATTTAATCAAATGCTTAACCACAGACAAAGATATAATCAGTGACCTTGTAGCGAATTACCCTTTTTCCCCAATTCGACGAACCCTAATTTCCCAAATCCGAGGAACCCTAATTTTAAAACAGAAAATCACATCAATTCACACAATTAGAGAGACATTCCTACCTTTACAAACCGATTGTCACCGATTTCGAATCGAAACTCGAAGATCTGTTGAATTTATCCCCGATTTCGTAAGCCACGATTCACCGATTTGGTGAGCTATTGACGCCCTCGACAACCAGCGTCGGTGGGGATGATAATCTATAGCAGGAACGATCGCTGGAGGTAAATAACGTCGGTTGTTCCTCCGATTTGCTTGAAATCGACTTCAGTTTCCATTTCATCTTTGAAATCGCGAAAGAAACAGAGAGAGAAGAGAGAAATAGAAGAGAGAGAGAAGGGAGAAAAAAAATTAAATTTGCTCTGAAACACAGAGACGTGTATGGTTCTTAACTATTTTCTTGTGTCTTACCTAAGAAACGATCTTAGCATTAAAGCTTGTTTGAGATTTAATTATAATCATTTAATAGCTAAGATTTCCTTAAGAAAACATTAAGCAACTGCCGATAATGGTGGTCTTATTGCTGGCAGATGAGTTACTCTCTCTCTCTCTCACTTATACTAAATATTTATAATCACAGATCTGAACAAACTACGAAGAAAATATATATGTAATTATCTTCTTTTATGTAATTCATGACCTATCTTTGATATATTTGATGTTGGGTTGGTGAATCTACAACTGATTTTATTTTTGATTAAATTGAATATATAATTTTCTGATCGTGGCTAAGAATTCTCCCAGCACCGTTCATGTAACACTTAATAAATATATATATATGTGTGTGAAAACCTAAAATATTCATTTAGATTCCCGCAAATTTCTAACCTTAAGCGGGAGTGGTATCATAATTCTTAGGTATCTCAAGCGTCAGTTACTCGTCCATATATATATTCACCTCAAAATTATTTTGATATAGCGTTTTTAAAGAGCAACAGAGAGGATCACCAAGTTTCAGAAATCTGAGTACAACTCTAAATAAGGTAATTCTAGTATTTCATCTCTTTAATTTTCAGATTTATTGATATTTGATTGTCGTTTTATGATTGATCTCTTAAACAAATCACACCTAGCTTAGTTTTCATTTTCTAATTTGTAATTCAAAAGCATGATTATCTCCTCTTTGTGTTGTTTGACTTGATTGTTTGTGAAACTTTAAATTATCTGTGTACGACTTTAAATTCTCCCGGACCCATTCAAAGATATAAACTAAGAAAATGATAAATTTTCCAAGTCGACTTTAAATTCTCCCGGACCCATTACTGTCTATTAGAGAGAGATAGAGAGAGAAAGAGAGAGATCATGCATAGATGATGACCAAGGAAAGCATTTTGAATATAGACGCAAATTTGGGTTAAAGGAAAGAGTAAAAAAGAATACGAATTTTGATGAAAGTCCATATGGCTTTTCACATGATAGAAAGGATGCAAACACGTAGAGATTCTGTTTTACAATTTATATGCTTTTAGTACCCCATAACGGTTCTTTTTCACAACATTCTCCTGCTCTTCAATCTTTTAGTATTTTTAATTTCTAACTATGGAGAAAAGCTTATTGATGTTGATATCTTTTCATTACAAAAAAATCCATGAGTTTTGATAATATATTTGACATTTTGTCCCGCTCTGATTAAAGAAATTAAATGATGGAAAACGAAAACTAGCTTCCCAAATATGTGGCGCATCGTATGAAATGTTGTACGAAATACATATTGCATGGAAAGTTGAAAGTCAAATAAATAATGATAATACATTAGAAAGAAAAAAGTATTTTACACAATTGTAAACGCAATTTTTATTGTTTATTGTTTTTTTTTTTGATAAAGCAACGCAAATAAAATTTGTAATTTTGATATATCAAATTTCTCTTAAGAAAATAATAATCTTACAACAAATTCAATTCATATGCATTTCGCATTTGCATATTCATATGCATTTCACATTTGCATCTTTTTTTTTATTAGATGCTTAATATACATTTTTTAGCTTTTAGATTTTTTTTTAACATAAACACACAATATTTCAAATACGTGTAAGAGCATCTCCATTGGTGGTTTGTGGGAGAATATCTCATTAAAAAAAAAATAATAATAAGAGCGGGAGTGAAGGAACGGTTCTCGTTTGAAACCAAAATACCCATGTGCACAAGTGTATGTTCTAATTGTTAAATCTTAAATAGAGAAAAAAATTTAATTATAAAATTAAATTACAATAAAATATTACTAATATGTTTATCTTGAGATACTCTTTTTGGGTATGCGACTATGCGAGAATGGAGATACTCTAAGCATACAATCAAGTCTATATATACGTTACAATACCACTTTCTTTAATCTATACAAGATTGTACGTACCATATTTTTTTCAAAGTAAAATTCTAACAATCCCGCATCCTATATATATTGCTTACCTTTGCATGGTAGATTATATTAAATGGTCTGATCATCTTTCATCGGAGAATACGTAGTTGGGAATATGATTAGTGGCAATTAAAAAAAGACATATCAGAGGAAGAGCCCATGTAAAGAATTTTCTGTCGTTTCAAAATATTTCAAACACATCGAAGGACACAAGATAAATATTCGGTCCAATATCTAACTAAGAACGAGGCCCAAAATTTCGACTCGATTCAACTTTCAAATTCCCACACGTTCTTTGATTATGATTCGAATATGTGATTATTGGTCCCATTATGAAAATTCTCATTGGAAAAGAAGGAAGAATTGGAGACCCTTTGCAATGATATATATAAATAGGCGTGCAGTGTTAGTGTTGTTTATAACATGACAGAGCTACAAGAAGAAAGTCAAATGTCTTCATGAGTTCCCTTTAACGCTTCATTGTTAATATTCAAACTACATTTATTTCCATAAATGTTTGATCGATTTGTATATAACACTGAAGTGTTTGGGGGGACTTTTGGTGTCATTCTGGCGTAGTTACGATTATTTGCAGCAGAATTATGCATGGTTTCTTTTAAATTAGTAAGCTCTTAGTATTCTTCTTTTGTTCATGAGTACGTTTAAGTCTCTTTCAGATTGTGTGGTTTTACCATATTGTGTTTTTTTTTTTAATATGTTTTATCTTTTTACCATTCAATTATATTGCTCTACATTTTAGCAAAAATAAATAAATTAATATATTGCTCTACGTTACATTGTTAAAATACAAGCAAGTACACTAGCTCGCATATATCTTGAAGTGTATGTTTATATATATTTTATTTCTTTCCAAAGGTTTTTGTTGATCTCCTACTAGCTGCAACATCTTAACATGAAGTAAGTTGGTCATTTAGTGTGGATATAATTGTAAAGTTTTGAAATCGAAATTTTACTAGAAGACAGACGATGCCAATTGCCCATAATTAACTAGAAGATGTAACAAAAAAGGTCACCATGCATACACATTTTTTAGACTCCGGAGTATCCAAAAGGAGAGAAGAAAATTAGTAAAATATCTAAGGATCTGCATAGCAGCATATGTCATAGGCTCATGGCATATGAGAAACGTAATTAAGAAGATGTAATATGTGATACAATGAAGACACTAATCTAAACCACTTAACTACAAGTTTTGGTCATATATATACATATAATATACGTACTATTCTATTATTATTCAGCTGAAGGTGTTTTTCTGACAAATTGTTGTAACTTTTATTTTTTGCACACGTGGAAATATGAATACAAGAGGTTGACATATATAAAAGGTCGATTTAGAATTGACAAAAAAAAAGAAGGTCGATTTAGTTTCTGTATATAGTTAAAGGCATAGAGGATAATCCCCATATCATTTGAGATAGAGATACAGAGAGCGATCAAAGATAATGGTCACCAAGGAGAGCACTTTGGAGTTTGAATATAGACGGAAATTGGGGTTAAAGGAAAGAGTAAAAGAGAATACGAATTCTGAAGAAAAGTACTAACGGCTTTTCACAAGATAGAAAGGAGATTCTTTTTCTAGTGCCCATACCGGTTCTTGATTGTCCTCACTAAATTCTATTACATTATAGAGAAAAGCTTAGTGATGTTGATATCAATTCTCTACAAAAAAATCCAAGAATTTTCTAACATGCATATTGATATTTTGTTCGTGCGCTGATTAAAGAAATTTTTTGTTTATTTATTAAAGATCGATTGTTCTTTATAAAGTAACTAGCTAACAAACAAAGAAAACTAAGTAAGCCACATATGTGGCGCATCGTATGATATGTATGTACAAATGAATTGCACTGAATAGATAAAAAGTCAAATAGATGATGTCGGAATCGATTAACTGAATTATATATATGCATGACGTAGGAACATAAATTCCATATTATTGTAATTTGTACAGGTTAACAGATTTATTTCTCAAAACTTTTTTCTAAAAGGTTCCCTGATAATGACTAGCGTTATATATATGATTCTTAATATAATTCTTTTGCTTTCAATTATCGAAGGAAAACACAAAATTTTAAGACTATTTTTTTAATCAAAAAACTAAAATTTAATATGTGACTAATAGTTAAAACTGAAAAGAAAATTAATTTTTTTTTCCGAATGATTCTTATCTCATGTTTAAAACGGATTTTTCTTTGTCAAAAGACATATATATATATATATATATATTTATATTTTGCATTTGCATCTACAATTTTCAATGATATTTACAAAGGAAAATATCAAATTTTGCTTACTTTTAGGCATAAAGTATATAATATTTTCACATATATCATATATGTAAACAAAAACAAAAACACAAAAAAAAATCAGACCAATATGATATAATGCCTCTTTTATTATCAATAAATGTGAAATCATCTAATACTCCATCCGTTTCAATTTAGTTGTCGTTTTAGGATTTAAATTTTGTTTCATAATAGTTGTCGTTTTAGGTTTTCAATGCAAATATTTGGTGAAAATTCCAGTTTTATTTCTACTGTTTTAATGTTTTGGCCAATGAAATTTTTTATAAAATATATTAATAAAGGGTAAAACAGAAAATTTAATGCTTTTCTTAATTTGTGTGAAAAAATCTTAAACGACAACTAAAACGAAACGGAAGGAGTATAATTAAAGAGTTTTCTCTCCTCCTAGGTTGGGAACCTAAGCTAAACAAAAACATTTTACATTAAGATCTAATGAAAACAACACTCAATTTACAAATATCTATTTATGTTTATTATTATTTTATTACTTATAATTCACAGAAATTTAAGTTAATAAAAACAAAAACAAGTAAGTAAAATTATGAAAATTAAATTAGTAAATATAATCTTCCTCAAAACTTTTTTTTTTGTTTTTCTTAGTATGATTTACATTCATCCATCACTACAGTAATCCTCCAAAATTTATTACTACTTGCTAAAAGTGAGTACTACACACAAAAAAGTCTTTATTATTTTATTTTTCCAACTATACGTTTCTTTTAAGTTTTAACAATCCCACACTCTATAATTGTTTAACCGCATTGCATGGAAGATTAAAAAGAATGGCGTGATCATCTTTCAATGGAGCTTATGTAATTATGTTACATGGCTTATATATATGTAATTCACTGTTGTGATTGTGGACATGATTGAATGGGGAATGTATGGTAAGAGCATTGATGTGGTGAGTCATGAGTGGCAATTAAAAAATGAAGGAGAAAAGACATTTCGGAGGAAAGAGTCCATGCAGAGAATACTTCTGTCGTTTCAAAACATTTCAAGCAAACTTAGGGACACAAGATAAATATTCGGTCAAATATCTAATTAGAACGAGGCCCAAAATTTCGACTCGATTCAACATTCAAATTCCCACACGTTCTTTGATTGTATGATTCGAATATATGATTTATTGGTCCCAGTATGAAAATTCTCATTGAAAAAGAAGGAAGAATTAGAGACTCCTAGCAAAAATATATAAATAGGCATGCCGTGTTAGTGTTGTTTATATCATGACAGAGCTACAAGAAGAAAGCCAAATGTCCCCATGAGTTCCCTTTAACGCTTCATTGTTAAATACTCAAAGCCACATTGGTTTGTATATAACACTGAAGTGTTTGGGGGGACTCTTGGTGCCATTTTGGCGTTGAACTGACCACTATTGCATTGTATCGGTTTTATATTATTCCTTACATATTTATTAAGTTCTTTTTAGTTACAATTCCAAATGTTTTCATGAATTTTGTATTTCTTATGGTGTCAGTGTGGTTTAACTCAACATTTTGATGATAGATAGATATATCATAGATGTAATGTAGGAGAGGACAAAATAAACTAATCCGAAAATATCAAACCAAACCGTTATGTGATTCGGGTTGATTAGTTTCAGTAACCCATTAAAATTTACTCGGTTACCATTACTAAAATTATTTTGGTTTTGGTTTGGTTAGAAATAGTAAAACTGGTTTAAGTATGGTTAGTTGATTCTGCTTTTAAATTAAGAAATCAAAAACCCTAAAAAAAAACAAGTCCATTGTGTCAGGATCCGGTTCGGTTATACTAATCGCGGAAATCAAAAAGTCCATTGAGTTACTTGTCCAATTTTGATCCACGATTTGAATGAACAAAAATGCCGTAGTCTCTTTGAGTTAAGAGAAATTAGTGTAACCGAACCGGATTCAACCGGTTATCTACCGGTCTGATTGACCTAATTTGGTAATGAATTTTAAAACATTTGTTAATAAGTAAAATCTCGCTAAAACCCAACACCTACCTTACCTATATATATATACTCTTCTCCTTCTCTGCGCGGCACTGTCTCTCACATCTCTCTCGACTCTCGCAGAATCATCTCAAACAAGCGAGATTCTTCAAACCCATTTCGATTTCGCATCTCTCTGTGTTGATTTCGTTTCCAAGTTTGGATTTTTTTTTGTCTTTTCCAAAAGGTTTGTGCAGCAGCGTCTTAGCCTAAAATCAAGCAAATTGTGTACTCTGGATCTAAATTGTCAAGTTTTGGAATTGAAATTTTACATTTTTCGATATTGGTGTTTTAGGAAAAACGGAGACCTCGCTGTCGAAATCGTCGAAACCCAAATCATGGGAAGGAACAGACATAAGGTGCGTGTTCTCTATCTGACAAGTGTTTTGGGTTTATCTCTTTTGGCTTAGTTTATGTTTTCTAAATATGGTTTCTTTGACTTCTGGATGCAGTTTAAGAGCTTGAAAGAGAGAATCAATAATATTGAAGTCAATGTATTTAGGAGTTTGGATACGGTGAAGTCTGAGCCTTCAAAAGGTTCCACATTTTTTAAGGATTGCCTCGTAGAATGGAGGGTATGTTTGATTTTGTTGCCTTAAGAGTTTTCTTTTTCTAAAGTTTCAATTTTTGTGTTCTTCTGGTCTTGTACTGTTGTATCCTACTTACTACTATGCTGGTTTTAAGTTAAGATTCTTAAGATAATCACTTATGGTCTTTAGTTTTAACTTTGATTCGTTATCTGCTATAAGTTATATGGTTGACTCATGAAAAATGAATGGCAACTTAAGGTACAAAGAGATTGCGAACTGGCTAATTTCCCACTTCCATGAAAATACTCTGTTTTCTCTTTACTTGGTTCTATAAGCTTTAAGGGTCAGAGAAGCATTATCTTTAGTGGGAGTTTTCTGCATTTCTTTTTTCAATAGAGATTAATTTTGAGTCATTTGGTTGGTTAAATGCAGGAACTAAATACAGCAGCAGACTTTATTTTGTTTTATGAAGAGATGTTGCCGTTTGTTCAGAATCTGGAGTTGATTCTCTTGCAAAAGGAATTTATCTTCTCAAAACTTGTCTCTGGATTACATATGAAAGCAAGATTTTCTCTGGATGCCTTTCTCAGGTTTGCAATTTCCCATTCATTCTTGAATCGCGGAACCATCCGACAGACTGACAGTTGATTAGTGTCATGGTTCTATTTCTTTTTCCTTAAGGACATAATTTGTCTCATGCTTATCTGTATGCCACAGAGTTCCCACTTTCAGGCTGTGTAGTAAACTTTTTAAGATCTAAGAGCTTGGTCACTAAGTTTCTTCACTTATTCTATGTCTGAGAGTGCACTTTTGTTATCTTCTTCTGTATAGAAGTATAAATGTATATTTTTTCCTTGCAGTTTGATTGCAGCTTTATCGAGAGATCTCTTGGAGGACTTTATTCCGTGAGTATTTTTCTAACTCTTTTTTTCTTTTCAGCTGCACAGTAACACAATTAGGATTCGAACTCTTAGTCATAGTCGATTCTGCCGCACTCTTCTAATGTTAGAATATTCCAACCATTGTATGTAGCATACTCTGAAAACAGAGTAATGTGATGATATCTTTGTATAGCTTAGTGGATGTAGTCATGTAGCTGATTTAGTTTCTGGCCGCTATGCATAGCTCACAAATTGTTGCAGACAAGTTTTCCCACTTCCTTCTCTTGCATTTGCATAAACTGATCATATAGCTAGAAGAGTCACTAGTACAGATTGTTTTGACTTTCATTTTAGGGTCAAGTAATCGAGCTTCACTTGCAGTTTCTTTGTTCAGTTAATTCTTGTGTATGTTCTAACCAATTTCCTTTGTTTATGTGTCTAGCTTCCTTTCACGCCTTGCTAACTCCTTACTGTCTCTTCTGAAAAATGGTGGTCAGGAAGATCCAGAGATTATTGAGCAGGTTGTTGCTGTTTCTATAACATATTTTACACTCTGGACAACGTAACTTATATATTATTTTTGCTGAATTTTTGGTCTTTTTCTTTGAAGATATTTGAATCATGGTCTTACATAATGAGAGACCTGCAGAAGTATCTCATATGCGACATCAAAAGTATTCTGAAGTACGTATAAAATTCCAATCTAATCAAGAATATATATTTTCTTGCGGTAAATCTGAACAAAAGTTTATAACTAAGTCATTAGCGAAACCTGTTAGAGTTTATGCCATTTTGCTCTCTTTTTTAAGTATTTGAATTGATACTGCTCAAATATTCGGTTTGTGGTAGAGAAGTTTCTTGTATTATCTTGGTTTCTTTTAGATATTCTGGATAGAGCGAAAATGTTATCTGTTACTATCAGCTTGACTTAGCTCAATAATGTGTTGATTGATTCTTGTGGCCAGTTTTAAGATTTCACATAATTTTTCTTTTACTTATTGGGTCATATACATTTCTGCTATGGTTTATATTGTAGTTTTATTCTGTTAAGGAACAAGGACTAAGACACTAATATTATTGGGTTTTCTTCATCTTGTTAATTTTTCTCTGATGAAGGGTTACATTGGAGCTGAGGTATTACCCCAAAGACTATATCATCGAGTTGATGTCACCCTCGATGTCATTTTTGTTGAGGACTGCACCGGATAAGCAACTTGAAAAAGGTGATGAATTGCTTGTCATTTCTTTTTGTCATGTCTATGTTAGGGACAATCCAGTTGATTCTTCTCTCCTGAACGTTTCAGGGATCAAGAGGATCCTTTCTGAAGTTGCAGATCCACCGAAAAGAACTGGAGGAGTTACTTTACTATATTATGTTATGAGAAATACTGATGCGAAACTCCATTCAAAAGCTGGCAGGGTTTTGAGGTTCTTGCTGAAAGATTCTACGTTATCTTTTTGTGATAATTTTCCTCAAGGCAAGTCCTATTTCTAAAAGATGTTAGAATTTTAAATTTAAAAGACTACTGTTTGGTGGATATTTTTAAAGCCAATGCACTTCTTTCTTCCGAATAATGATGCTAAATTATAGTGGGGCAGTGAGAATCTTTGTTAACTGTTTTTATATTTTGCTGGAGTGAAAATTTTATTTTAATTCTTAATGGTTGTTAATCAACTAACTAGAATAGTGAATTTTTATCCTGAAGCTGCGTTACATGGTTTATATTCTTGTTTTCTTCTGATCTCGTATTTTGTTGCAGGTTCTGGTAGTACAGTGGAAGTTGTGAGTTCAACTTTGGAGAGAATATGCAAGGATTATAAAGTAGAAGAATTAAGTGTTATCTGGAATTGCTTGTATCAGGAAGTAAACAAGTCAATCTTGAACAAACAATCAGTTCATTTAACCCGACTGTTGACTGTGATTACTTCAGCTGTTAGGATTAAGAAAGGTCTCAAGGTTCATGGTAAGTTATTATATTGTTGAATATCTTTTCCCTCTCTCTTCCCCTCCTCAAATCGCTCTCTTATGATTGTATTGCCAATTTAAGTTACTGTCATTGTGTAACAGATTACCCATCTTTGATTGAAATCGTGAGCCAAATTGTGTCAACTTTTATGGCTTCCTCTGAGATCGTTGTAGAAGGGGATAACTTATCTGCTGTCCTCGATGAAGTTTTGCGGCTGATATTATGCACCATCGACAAACCCATTTCTGTCCGTGAAATGGAATCCATTGCTTTAAAATGGGCTCCTATTTTTTTCTTGAAGAATTCAAGGTATTTATATATGGTTTGTAATTTACAATGTTCATTCTACATTTTTTTCTCAACACTGATGATGTTATTTTCAGTTTCCTGAATTTTCTGGGGGAGTTGCTAAAGAAGGATCAATTAGTAGTGAAAGCCTTTACAAATAATATATTAAGGCAAGTCTCATGTCATAGTTCTTTCTCATTACCTTCTTCTTGAATCTACCTATTTTTCATGTCTTAGAGACTAAATTTATATTGCAGTGCAATCAACAATATGATTTGGGGGTCGCCTGAGGATGTTATTCCTCAGTTACTATCATTGTGTAATATACAACAAACAAGTCACGACACGGTGAACATCATTGTTGAAACGTTTGAGAGCAGATACAAGAGAATCCATGAGTTCTTGGAAGAGAATATTAAGAAGATTCAAAAGAGTTTAGAGAATACTGGATTAGCTCAAATTGATGAGGCCGAGTTAGCTACCGTTCGGGGAGTTGTCAACTGTTATCCCTACTTTAAAGTGGATTCATCATTACTGATTTGCCTTAAGAATACGCTCAGACAGCATCTGGCAGTCTCAGTTGGTAAGTCTTGCTTAATTACATGATTTACACTTTTTTGCATGTTACTTTATCTTAGTTTTATGCTTCCACTACACAGATCCTAATTAATTGTCAGTGTCTTTGCTTTGAAATTTCCTTCATTGGAATGTTGTACAGTAGAAATTGCGTTGTTCTTGATTGTGTGATCCTATTTCGTGAAATTATCATAACTTTTTGCTACATTCTATTTCAGTAAACACTTTTAGTGGTCCAGAGTTGATGTGGCAAAGCTTACTTGGTACTTCTTTGAGGTCATGTCACAAACTCTGTTCTCCTGAAGGAATCAACCACAATGATCTAGAGGAAGCTTTGAGTCTTGCTAAATATCACAAGTCATGTGCAGAAGTTCTATCTCCTGTGGCCGACTATTTGGATTTTGTGCACAGGTGAGATTGCATGTTTTGGTGGTTAGTCTGTTATTTATCCATGTTAGATGACAGACTCTGTGATGCTGATCCATTTGAAATTGCAGGCCTCTATTAGCTAATGATGATAGCTCTAAGGCATATCCAGAACTTCAAGCAAATAAGGCGGAAGATGCTTTTGACATATTTTCTGAAAATCTGCGTCACTCAAACAAAGAGATCCGTCTTTTGACTCTAAGGATTTTGTGCCATTTTGAAACCTTTTCTTCTTTTGAAGAGCATCCTCCTAAGAAGAAAATGAAATCTGAAGAGACTCTAAAGTCTCTTCCAAAAGAAAATGTGAGTACCTATCCTATCCTTTGATCTGTACTCTAAAACTTTTTTTCTTTCACAGCATTTTTAAATAGCTGTAGCAACTATATAATAATTACCTCTACACTCTATTATGTCATAACTAATATATTAAATAAATAATTCAAATTATCAGGTTCTTCAGTTATTGCATAAAGTCGAAGAGTCCCCTCTCACAGTATCAACTGACGTGAAGTTGGTCAATTTGATAAAAAAAATCCGGGATCTCTCTGCTGGCAGGATACATGAGGCATATGTGCAGCTTGTATTCAATGGAATGATAGGACTATTTCATAATCGCTTTTCTAAATTACCGAAGCCAGCATTTGAGTGCCTTGCGATTCTCTTGGAGAAGCACACGGCCGCGGTGTGGACTGGTTTTGTTCGCTATTTCCGCCAGTGCCAACTAACATTCCAAACCCTCCACAATCATAGTGAGAATGAAAATTACAGCACTTCAGAGAAGTATACTGGTATGTTTTTAGCCATTTCAATAAAAATCTATTTGCCAATCTTTTGCATCTCTATATTTTTCTCTCATCGTACTGTATTCTCTTCCTTACAATTATGATGCATATATGCTCTTATTCTTTTCAATCTACAGATCGGATGGACCGTTTTAATTCATTTCTATCTCCGCCATCTGATAGCACACCTACTGCAGAAGTGGTATCTTTGTTGCTCCAGACCTTACAAAATGTTCCCACTGTTGCTCAGTCTCGGGCTTCTGACATTCTCCCTTTGTTATTGGAATTTTTGGGATACAACAGCGAACATCCCATGAGGTAGTCATGTGTCTCTATCTTTTATTCTTAAAAGTACAATTTAATTCAGCTGTTGTCATCGAATTTTTCTTTTTCTCTCTATGTTGCAGGGTCGGATTATTTAATGGCGGAGCTTGTAAAGGAAAGGAGTGGAAGAAGTTACTTGTACAATGGTTGACGTTGCTGAAGTTGATGAAGAATCCAAGGTCGTCTCGTTTTAGTCAGTTTGTTAACGACGTTCTCCAGAATAGGTTGGCGCCAAACTAGTGATTTGATCACTTTTGGAGTAACTGGTACCGAATCAAATAGTTTCATTGACCTCTCTCTGCATGTGATTTGTGTTCCAGGTTCCTGGACGATGATGATGCTGAAATACAAATGAATGTCCTAGAGTGTCTTATGTTGTGGAATGACTACTTACTCCCATACCACAAGCATTTGGAGAATTTGATCAAAGAAAATGAATTGAGGGAAGAGCTCACGACCTGGAACTTTTCCAAAGAAATTGAAGAAGCTCACAGATCTCATTTTTTTTCTCTTGTAATTCGCATTCTTATGCCAAAAGTTAGGAAATTAAAGAATTCGGCTTCGCATAAGGTGTGCATATACGTACTTCTTTTTAGTTTACTTCACTGTGCCAGTTCATTTTTTCACTTTGGTCCTAACAATTTTCTCTTTCTTTTTCTTGTCAGCATAAAAGAAGTATCCGTCACCGAAAAGCGGTTCTTTGCTTTATATCTCAGCTGGATGTTAATGAACTTTCCCTGTTCTTTGCATTGTTGATTAAGTCTTTGAAAATCATATCAGAGGAAATGATGGACTTTTTTGGGAGCTCCGTGAAAAGTTCTCTGGATTGTTTCCAAAGGTCGAATTTCCTGAAATATTTCACTGGTAAAACTATATCAACGTTATCCAGGGAGAAGAAATATGGGTTTCTTCATGTCATCGAACATATCCTGGAAGAATTTAATGTGTCCCATGTCCAACCATTTCTAGACTTCTTGATGGGATGTGTTGTTCGGTTATTGGCAAACTACGCTCCAAATCTCGATGAAGAAGTGAACATTGATAAAGAGACTGTTTCAACAAATCACGACCAGGTAAAATGGTTGTTGGTGTTGTTTGCTCTCTTTCCCTATAGTTTCTGTGTAGGCTATATCCATCATCCATGCAAACAAAACATTATTTTTTCGCTCTTTCCTTTATCGAGAATCCTCATATTATCTGGCATTTTTTTCCCCTTTTTTTTTTGTAGGCTGGCACTTCTTTGAAGCAGTTTAAAGAGTTTAGATCCTTATGTCTGAAGATTTTTGCTCTTGTTCTTGATAAGTATAAGGATTTTGATTTTGGCTCTGAGTTCTGGGACCTCTTCTTTTCAGCAGTGAACCCCTTAATTAAGAGTTTTAAGCAGGAGGGTTCTAGTAGTCAAAAACCAAGCTCATTGTTCAAATGCTTCTTGTCAATGAGTAAAAGTCGCAATCTCGTGACCTTCTTATGCCGGGAAGAGTTTCTTATTCCAGAGATTTTTTCAATTCTAACAGTCACCACAGCTTCAAAAGATATAAAGTCTTCTACCTTGAAGTTCATAGAGAATCTACTCAGTCTTGACAATGAGTTGGATGAGGATGACCATATGATCAAAGGATTCTTAGATCCATATATCGAGGCACTGATTAACAGCTTGCATTCTCTTTTCCTTGGGGATATTTTGAAAAGGTAAGGATTTTTGTAAAGTGACAGACTTTTGGTTATGTTCGTCTTGTTTCATTTTTTTTTTCTAAGAAAAAGTGTTGATTATGATCAGGAAATCAATCAAGTATCATGGAAAAAGAGAGATTAAGATTCTTAAACTATTGTCTAAGCACATCCGAGATGGTTCTTCTGTTATGAAGTATTTGGATGTCTTGCTGTCTTTTTTGGATGACAGTGTGAAAGATTCTGGTATTACTCATTGCTTTGTTTGGTATTTCTTATATAATATCACGTCTCTTGTGTGTGACTGTCTTATTGTTGTTGCAGATATTCATCGTGAGGCTTTGCAAGCCATTCATTCATTGCTTGGGACTGAGAGTACCACATCATCGCTTGGGACTGAGAGTACCAGCAGAATTATTAAGATAGTGTCTCCTCTTCTTGTTGATGCTGAAAGTAATGTTAGATTATGCATTTGTGATCTTCTTGAATCTCTTGCAAAATTCGACCTTTCTCTGGATCTTGTGGTAAGTATTCACATCTCTTGAAACTGAGTCAGTTCCTTCTCACTCTTTTTTGTGATTGTAATTGGTTGCGGCATCCTACAGGCCAAATGCGTCCGCGATATGAATTCCAGGTCACCCATGGAAGTTGATGATCTTGACTATGAAAAGATAATTGATGCTTATGGAAAGATTGATGTAGATTTCTTTAATAAATCCTCGGAGCAGCACGTGATGATCATACTCTCACAGAGTATATACAACATATCATCAGAAGAGCTTACGTTAAAGGATAGCGCACGTAATCTCTTGTGTTTATTCATTGAATTTTCAGCCTCAATACTTTGCCAAGAGGTTGTAAAATCTGATGCAAGATGGACAGGAGATCGCATATTGTGGATTATGAATAAGTTTATACTGAAACACATTGGAGATGCGATAAACAGAGGAATTTCTTGTGGAAAGGTACAGTAACCCTTCTAAGTCTGGAATAAAGTATATGTATTGGAAAAGTGAAAATGAAAATCCTATTGGACGCTAGTTGTAACCCAGGTTTCTGCTAACTAACAAAATTTATGCTTCTACTTTATAGCTTAGTCTTTTGACCAGGAATATTGAATTTTTGTTCTAATTGTAAGATTAAAACTCATAGCTCTCTTCTTTGAACTAAATATCCTCAGAAACGAATTATTCTGCTGCAGGGGGGGATTCTTTTGATACACAAAATGGTGGCTACACTTCCAGATGCCGGAAATCTTTCTGCATTCAGACCTTTATGCTCAGAAGACGACGAAGTGGATTTCTTTAAAAACATTTTCAGCATTCAGGTAAGTCATTTTATCATCTAACTCCTTGAGTCCACAGTTTTTATTCTGTGTTGTGATGAGAATCAGAGTCGATATTTTATAACCACACAGAAACCATTGCCACTTCTGATTTTTTTTTGTTAGACCTTACTTTACCTTTAGAAGAGGAAGCAGCATACAACTTGTGAAAGATAATAGAAACGTTACGATGATATATCTCGTTTGAATGTCTTGTAGGCACATCGTAGAGCAAATGCAATTAAACGTTTCACAAAGGTGATCAAAGATAGCAGTCTGCCTGAGGTGATGATCTCTTTGAGTTTCTTAGATTTTTAAATACAATTTTTGTGCTTTCATAGACTTATGTCCAAATTGCTGTTGCGATTGCAGGGAGTAGTGAGAAAAGTTTTGGTCTCAGTCTTTTTCAACATGTTGCTTGATGGAAAAGATGAAAAAGGGAAAAATGTCCAAGATGCATGCAAAGAAGCCCTTGCATCTATATCTGCTCATATGAGTTGGACGTCGTACTATGCTCTATTGAATCGGTGTTTCCATGAGATGAACAAGCATACCGATAAGAAAAAACTTCTGCTGCAGCTTATCAGCTTGATTTTAAATAACTTTCACTTTTCAAAAGATGGTTACACGCAGGAGGCTATGGAGATTAGGACTCGCATTGAGAAAAACGTTTTCCCGAAGATACAGAAGCAGATGGATTCTGACGATGATAGTGTTAATGTTGACAGCTACGTGGCTGCGGTGAAGGTTCTAAAGCTTCTCCCTAAAGAAATAATGGACCCACAGCTAGACTCTATAGTTCCTAAAATTTGCAGTTATTTGACGAATGGGTTGGAGAGCACACGTGATAAATCCAGAAAGGCTCTTGCTGCTTGTGTGGAGGAACTTGGGCTAGAGTACCTGCAATTTGTTGTAAAAATTTTACGTGCTAGGTTAACACGAGGATATGAGGTGCATGTTCTAGGATTCACTGTCAATTTTATCTTATCAAAATGCGTGTCCAATTCTACGGGTGGGAAGTTGGATCATTGTTTGGGAGATCTCCTTGCTGTGGTAAAAGCCGATATCCTTGAAGATGTTGATGACCAGAAAGAGGAGTTAAAAACCGCATTCAAGAAGAAGAAAGAAACTGTAAAACGCAAGTCACCTGAGACTCTGAAATTGATTGCTGAAAATGTAACGTTCAGGAAAAGTCATGTGTTAGAGTTACTTTCTCCGGTCACAGCTCAGCTGCAGAGGCCTCTGACTCCAAAGTTAAAATCAAAACTGGAGGAGATGTTAAGGTATATTGCAGCTGGTATTGAAGGCAATCCAACTGTTGATCAAGAAGATCTTTTTTGTTTTATTTATGATGGTATTAACAACAAGATTGGTCTTGGGGATCAAGTGTCTTCCCCACCATCCAAAAAGAAAAGGAAATCAAGAGATCTGCAAAATACTGCTGGTGCTAAGTCATGTCCACATCTCATAACCGTCTTTGCTCTGGACTTATTGCACAACAGACTGAAGAAAATGAATCTTAACAATAATAAGACTGAAGAAGTGTTGTTGTCGATGTTGGATCCTTTTGTCAAAATACTTGTTGGGTGCTTGAGCTCTAAGTATGAAGATGTTGTATCTTTATCTGTTAGATGTTTCACTCAATTGTCAAGGTTACAACTACCTTCCTTCAAATCTGAAGCAGATAAAGTGAAGACAACAATGCTAAATATTATTGTTCAGTCTGCAATGAGTTCCAGTAGTCCTCTTGTGGAGTCATGCCTTAAGCTGTTAACAGTTCTTATCACATCAGGAAATTTCACTTTATCATCCTGGGAGTTGAAAATGTTGCTTCAACTTCCCATGTTTGTTGATCTAGAATCGGATTTATTTGATACTTCTCTGTCATTTATCAAGGCCATTGTGGTAGGGAAGCTTGCAGTCCCAAACATACATGATATAGCAGGTCAGGTATTAAAGTTGATGATAAAGACTCACTCAGACCATACCCGCAAGAATTGTGCAGAATTACATTTGGAAATTTTGGTACATCATACACTTTCTGAGAAATGCCTACAAAGACATGTTAACATTTTGCTGAAACATCTGAGGTACGTATGTATATATGCTTTTTGAAATCTGGCTTGGCTTTTCAAATAATAACTGATTTTTTCCTCCCCCAGCTATGTACATTCAAATGGAAGAGAAGCTGTTCTTGACATGCTTCAAGCGCTTATCAAGAAACTCCCAAAAGCTTCTCCCGGCAAGACGTCGTTTCTTGACCAGCAGTCTCAAAACTTCTTTCTTCAGCTTGTTTGTTGTTTGGCAACTGATGATGCTAAAGAAGTGCTACCCAAGATTGGTGATGTGATTAAACTTCTTTTAGGTCGCATCAGTAAAGATCAAGTTTATTCCAGCCTTGAGTACTGTCTAGTTTGGTATAAGCCGGAGAACTCACCGGCTATAGCAGCACAGGTAAATGCTCTTCATGTTCTTATTGACAATGGTTAGATATCAGATCAGTTGGGAGTAGGAACTTATAACTTCACATGAGTCTTATAGAATTTATGGCTTGCAACATTGTCATGAAGCTTGGTTTCTTGGGACAGTTGATTACTCTTACTCATTTGTTGGATGCCGTGCAGGTACTGGGGTTATTCATTGAAGCCATGAAGGCATCGGGATCATCCATTAAAGCCATGAAGGAAATATTTCGGAAGCATATCTGCAATGTATTGCACGAGGCTAAAATAATTTTGGAGTCTACTGAACAGTTGCAAGATACGGTTCAGGAAGGCAGTATTCCTTTCTGGAAGGAAGCTTATCGTTCACTGGTTATGATAGAGAAGATGCTCCAGCAGTTTCCTGATTTAACTTTTGGAAAAGATTTTGAGGTAATGCTCTCAGCTGTATGATGTTATGACTGTAGGTTGTTGTTGTAGTTGACGTCTGAGAAGTAGCTTGTTAATCATTGCATCTTGAAGCTCTGATACATATTTATATTTATTTTCTTGTTGACAATTTGATGTCTAATCATGTTGCCTTCTCTCCTTTGATAGAACGAACATAATTGTATTCTTATTATGTCTCATTTATTTTTCAGGATATTTGGAAAATGGTGTTTAAGTTGTTGTTGCACCAACATGAATGGTTGCGTACTATATCTTGCCGGCTCCTGAATTACTATTTCAAAGCATTAGCTGGGAGTGAAAGAGGAGAATCTAAGAAACTAGTAGCTGATTCTCTTCTCGGGAAGCCAAGTAGCCTGTTCATGGTAGCTGTTTCTCTTTGCGTCCAATTAGAGGATCAACGCAGCACAGGAAACGAAAACTATGGTGACATTACAGAAAATATTGTTTTTGCAGTCTCTGGTCTTCATTCTATGATTGGACAATCTTCTGATCATGAGTTCTGGTCCAGTCTTGACAATGATGAGCAAGTGGTCTTCCTCAATGCCTTTAAAGAGCTTGATTCAGGGAAAGGAATGTCTAATATTCTGGCTATTACCTCAGGAAAACGTATTGAAAACGATGTGAGAAATGTATTGATTGGAAGTTTGCTCAAGAGAATGGGGAAGATTGCTCTTGATATGGACTCTCTTCAGATGAGACTTGTGTTCAACGTCTACAAAGCATTTGCCTCACAATTGAATCAAGAAGAGTGTGGCCTATACGCCTTCAGAATTCTGCTCCCGTTGTACAAAGTTTGCCAAGGATATACCGGAAAAGTCATCACAGATGAGTTGAAACAGCTAGCGGAAGAGGTAAGAGACAGTATAAGAGACAAGAGCTTAGGCAGCCAAATGTTTGTGCAAGTTTACAGCGAAATCAAAAAGAGTATGGAAGCGAAAAGGGAGAAGAGGAAACGAGAAGAGAAGCTAATGGCGGTGATAAACCCCGAGAGAAACGCAAAGAGGAAACTCAAGTTAGCTGCAAAAAACAAGGCTAACAAGAAAAGAAGGATTACGAGCAATAAAATGGATAGATGGGCTCGCTCTTAAGCTCCCATAACCACACTTAAACCATTTTTGTTTATGTTTTAATCATAGAAATTATCTGAGATCAGACTTTTTCAGGTCTTTTTGATCCATTTTTTGTGTGACACATTCCAAACCATTGCTTTTAACTTTGTTTCTTAACAGAAAAAAATTTGCGACATCTATTTCATTACAAAAAGAGATAAACTTTATTAAATTCTGATTACTAAAATAAATAGTTAACAAAAATATCAACATTATTATGTCTATAGTAATAAAAAGAATTATAACACAAAATTGCCACGTGTCGAGTGGCTACGTTAAAGATTCCAGATTTTTACGTAATGTTCAAGGCAACCACCGGCGATGTGGCTTATCTCGCCGCGAGTTGAGGCGGCTGAAATTGAGTTTGATACGACATCGTTTCTAAGTAAATAGCACCAGCACGTTTAAAAAACAAAAAAAAGAATCAGTTCCTCTTCTTAATACCTAAATTAAATTCGATTTTTGAGACAAAAGCTCGACAAGTCGTCGGCGGCGGTGTAAAAATCAGTCGGAGCTATGGCGATGCATGCCGGAGTTGGCTTATCCAGGATCTTTCTCTTAGCCGGAGCAGGTACTTCACTGCTCAATCTAACTAGCTCATTTACTTACTGCTAATTGGGATCTGCAAATCCTCCTGATACGTTTTCCGATTTGTTGGATTCAAGGTTATACCGGTACGATCATGATGAAGAACGGCAAATTGTCAGATTTGTTGGGTGAATTGCAGGTACTAATTGATTTTTTCTGTTTGTCTCCTTGAATTTTTTTTTTGACTAATGATTTGTGCTTTCGATAGGGTCTGGTGAAGGGAATGGAGAAATCTGGAGAAGGATCTGAAGGAGATTCTGATGTTTCTGATGCTATAGCTGCCCAGGTACTTACTCAATTGGATTTAGGTATATTGGTGAGAAATGGTATTGATTTTTATTCTATTTGGGAATGATTTAAAGGTTCGCCGGTTGGCTATGGAGGTTCGACAGCTAGCTTCGCAGCAGCACATAACGGTCATGAATGGGGTTTCTGGTGGTATGTGAAGATTAGGGAATTGTAATTCTACTCAAATAGTTTTGCTAAGTGTTGTTTTCTCTGTGTGTGTGTTCATCAGACTCTCTTTTTTTTTTTGTTGTTGTTGTTGTTGTCAGCAAACCTACAAGCTCTTGCTGTTCCTGCTGCGGCATTGGGAGCTCTCGGATATAGTTATATGTGGTGGAAGGTGAGATTAAGTTTTCAATATTTTTTTCATGGTGATTTCTGTTGTTTGTTCACACTGTTTCGGTCAAAGGAGGTTTCAATGTTGTAAGGGAACTAAAAACTGGTTGTGATTGTTCACTGATTAGGGACTCTCATTCACTGACCTTATGTATGTGACAAAAGCCAACATGGCTGCTGCTGTGGCTAACTTGACAAAGAATCTGGAGCAAGTTTCTGAGACCCTTGCGGTGAGTTTTTTTTTTTTTTTGCTTTATGTATGGTGTTTCTGGTGATATATTAAGCTGCAGGGTTAATATTGGATCTTAATTTCGTTTGATTGTCAGGCTGCGAAAAGGCATCTAACACAAAGGATTCAGAATGTGGATGATAAGGTAGAAAAGCAGATTGATCTCTCCAAGGAAATCAATAGCCAGGTATGAATTATGATGATGTTTTACCTTTTCTTTAGTTCCTATGATTAGAACGATTAGCTTTCATTGTTAATTTGTTATGCATGTGTACTGTGTTGAACAGTTTTTGACCAACGTGATGTGGTTTTGCTACACAGGTCATTGCTGCTCGTGAGAATATCAACTCACTTGAGATGGATTTGGAATCATTACATAATTTGATTACTGGACTGGTGAGTCTTAGTTTTATTTGTAAAGAGATTGCAGCTGTGAATCATTCAGTCTTTAAGATTAGATAAGAAATCAGAATTCTCCTCTAGGGCATTTCACTCCTTTTAGTATCTCTCCTAAATATTTTGGCATATAACATTGTTTTGCAGGATGGGAAGTTGGACACGCTAGAATACAAGCAGGTACATTAATCTTTTATGTTACCCTATTAGTATATCTTATTAGCAAGCATCATTACCCTGAGAATCACCAAAAATTGGTAACTCAGTACTGATTCTATTCTGTTTCTGGTGCAGGATGTCACAAATGTTTTCATGCTACACTTGTATAACTATTTTGGAGGCAAGAGCACAAAACTGCCTGAAATGGTAATGCAGATAGAGGAGAACTTCAAACGAATTGATCTCCCTTTTTCTCTGCATAATTGTGTCTATTTTTGGTATAATTATGTCTATTTTTGGTGTTAAAACTTAAAAGTATTCTACTCCCTAGTTCTTTAATTTCTAACTTTGGAGTGCAAATATATTGTACGATTGTTAATCTCACAAAGTAATTAACTTCATCTTACAGGAACAGCTTCAGCTTCCTGTAAACCAGAGGGCTCGTAATTTGCTTGCAGATGTTGAAACCAAGGTGTCTTTTCTTATTTGAGAAGTCTGGTCAGCTTGTATATAATAACGTCTTATTTCCAATGAATCAAAAAGTAAACTTATTTTCTTGCTGATAACAATATTTCCTCCAATCTGTTTCAGGGTCTGAAAAACTTGACTGACGAGCTGTTTGAAAGCAATGGCACACAGGTGACAACCACAGTGAAACAAATCAGTTTGAGTAAGGTCAATGTGAAGTCGAGGCCATTGTTATCAAGGTTTGATCACTTTGCTTCACTGTCTGTCTTGTGAGTTTGATATGTTGATATAATAGAGGTGTGATAAAGGAAATATGAATGCAGCAGGGCTGCTTCAGCTAGGTGTTGATATGGAAGTTTTCCTGATGGCGGTTTGGCTTGCGGGATGTATATAACAAAACTCTTACTTATACAAATGGTCTCGTGAGCCGTACAAAGCTCTCTTATATTTATTCGTTGGCTTGGCTATTCCCCCCCCCCTCCCCCCCCCAAAACTTGGATCTTATGATATTTTGGTTTGCACTTTGGAGGTTTTTCCTTGAACTCGAGTTTGTTTATTGACATGGACATGTGATGTGTCCACTTTTGAACTTTGGAGCAATTTTAAAATAAAGTTGATGTGGGGGTTATATTATATACATTGACATGTTTAACAAACGTATGTACAAAGTTAAATAAACAAAACATATTATTCATGGATCAATACATTTAAAAGTGGGTGATAAATAACCGGGATGCTACGGCAAGGACAAGTGACCCTAACTGAAACCACTTGTCGATGCAAAAAGCGTGGAACTCATGTCCACAATGTGGCAACACTCTCACAATGTCACCAACCACGTAATCCTCAAGACATATCACACATCTACTACTGCATAACCTCACACCACATTCCGGTGAGAATGTCAATTTCGGGAGAGACTTCAAAATCTCCTTCTTCAAGGGTTTTGTTTTCTTCTTAAACCTGCAGTTGCAGTAGCGGAGTTGGATGATGTAAACGATCATTGCGATTAAGAGATAGAGTGGTAACGAATCTGGTGACTTCAAGAAACCAACGATGGTTAGGTCAGGGTCATCAGACAAATTTGCTGCTGCGGCGGCTGGGGAAACAGCGAAGAGAGAAGGAGGGGAAGTCATGAGTGTAAGAGTCCTCGAAGAGATTTGATCAAAGAAGCTTCCGATCAAGAGAAGATTACGATGTTATTAAGGCGTACGTATGTATGTGTGTTTGATATTTTCTTGTTACAGTCCAAAATACCATAAGACTATTGAGATTTATCTATATTGTGTATTTCTTTTCTTTGTTTATGGATTTTTTATAGGAGTTTAATTCCAATACCAATTTGAAGTAGGAATTGTATATACTATTCTTATTTATTTAGAGGAAAACAATGATTTTTTCATCCATATTCTGATCATGCATAAAACAAATCTATGTATTTAAATTCCGTAAACTCTCTCTTTATTTGTTTTTGTCAATATATTTACGTAAACTCTCTCTATTGTAGAGTAGAGAGAGGCCAATAGAGAATTAAAAAAAAAAAAAAAAAAAAAAACTCTCTCCTTAATCTTACATCTACTTTTGAGTCTTCTTTTTCTTAAACAAATTATAATTTTTTTTCTTTTATTAGAAAAGAGACGTCTATTAAACCAACGCAAGTTTATAAATGTGTTGTTTTTATGCAGAAAAATGTTAGATTACAGTTTTATACTGTTTTATTATAAAAAGTAAGTAGAGTATATTTGAAGAATGTTTCTTTCTAATATATAGGTATCATCACATAGATTACCAAAAATTACGATTAATAATATGTGCTCAGAAACTTAATTCCGTCATATTTGCTACAAAATTTTAGATAGCATTGCCTAGAAATTTGTTTTTACGATAAGTTTATGAGATTTTTCGAAAATTTAACACCAAAGTTGACCAAGATGGCAAAAAGGCAAGAAACAAAAAAAAAATGAAAGACAAGTATCGTCGTGGTACAAAATTGACCAGAATGAATAAATGACTATCGTGTTTTCAAATTTCTAGATGTTGATAATTAGCTCAATTATTTGATTCGATTGTTCACCCACTAGAATTATTTAATTATTGTCCGCAAGTCATTAGTGATACACTGACACTGTAACCCTTGGCATTATTTCATTACGAATTTACGATAAGAAGACAAGAAAAATCAAGCACAAGTTGTGTTTCTCATACAGAACTCAAGGATCTTCTCGCATGGGTTCTCTTGATTTGCCTTACGCTTCATCGTTCAAGGTTCTTTCTCTTCGCTTTTATTTATAAAAAATCAAATCAATTACTCATCACTATAATACACTAATTCTGTTATCATCAGGGAGGAAGTGAAACATTTCTCCAGAATGTGTTTGAAAGTATACTGAAAACGTATTTGAGGAAGAACCCGATGGCGAAGACGATATGGGAACTAGTTAAGTCGGTGGACAACGAAAAGATCTCTTACGACCACTTCTTTTTCAGGACATTTAAGGTATGAATTTACTCTTCAAGATTTGGTGAAACTAGTGGTGTGCATTAGGGGCTGTGCAAAATATTCGTTCGATCCGCTTCGACTCTGTATTCGATTCAAAAAATCCGAATATCCGTAAGATTTTGGATCAAAGCAAATAGGAAAATGTAGTATTCGTAAAAACCGAAGCAAATAACAAATATTGTTTTTTAAAAATTCGAATATCCGCTTCGATCCGTATCTTTTGATATATATTAGAATATATAGTTATGTCTATATATATATAACATAAATAGTTTGTGTATTGTTGCTACGTACCTTATGTTTTTATGTTAAGATGTTTGTTTGATCATTTTTCTATTATGTTATGTTTTGATCAATGACATCTTAATCTATCGGGTTTTGGTTTTTGGAATTAGTTGGATAACATTTTGTTGACCGGTGATAACAACAACGGTTATGTTTGATATTTGGAACTTATTTTGAAAGCATGTTAAATAAAAACTTTAAATATCTGATATGGTTATATAGTTTACAGATTTTTTTCATATTTATATTTATCAAAGCGGATATCCGCAAATATCACAAAAAAACTGGATATTCGAATTTCCGGATATCCGAAAATTTTCGAATCAAAGCAAATCACAAAATCAGGTATTCGGTTAAAACGAATCGAATAACAAATATCACAATTTTTCTGGATATCCGCTTCGTACCCAAACCTAAATTACTGTGCATCAGAGCATGATCTAAAAGCTTAACAAGTTGGTGCTTTAGACATCACAATTAATATTTTAAGAATTGAAAGGAATATCAATTCTGAGTAATTTGTTATGGTGGGTGGCAGATTTTGAGATTTTTTATTTTATTTTACCGTTGTGTTTGTTAGTGGGCTCAAGAAAAAATTATTTTGTTCCAGGTCCGAAATACTCCGGGCTGGCCTGATTGTGTGAATTGATATTTTTCTTTTTTGGGGTATGCGTTTAGGTTGATGGTTACGGAATTGATTCCTTGTCAAGTTTTTTCATGGATTATGGATATAAAGTTGGAGGCAGACTTGATTTTCCAAAGAAGAAAGTACAAGTTCTCTGGCTTTCTCCTCCAGATATTCACGTCCCCGATAATGGTTATGGTATAGGCAATGGCCCTTTGCCACGACTTGTTATAGCTGAGCTTCTTGTGGATGAACTAAGCCATGAATCACAGGTCTTATAATGATCACAAACATAATGTTGTTAATTATAATGACTTTAATATATCTAATATCTTTTTTGTTGGTCCTGATTTATGGTTAACTAGGAGATAATAAGGAAGTATTTGAAACCGGAAGGTGGTAAGCAAGCGGTTCTTTCAAGTACTTTGGGCTCTATAATTTGGGAGAAGCCAACATCCACCGATTTCAATCAACTTGCTAAGTATATGTTATTTTGTTTCTAATCAATAATCATATAGTAGTATCTTTAATCAAATATCTTTGATGATTAAAGCTAATCTAATTTTTGAGTTTTGTAAATTTTGTATAAATGATGAAGAGAAAGCGAATTTGCGGCATGGACACTTGTCCACGGCTACACAATGAACCATCTTGCTTTCGCGGTTCATCGTCTTAAACACCGTTTCAGCGACATCAAATGTGTCAAAGAGTATTTTGAAGAAAATGGATTCGAACTCAACAAGGATGGAGGAGTTCTCAAAGGTTTTCTTTACTTATTCTTCTCATGAGTAATGTTTTCGTTTTGAATGGTTCTTTTATATAACCATTATTTAATTGGAATAAAATATATATTTCAGTGAGTCAAGATGGTCTACTGTTACAAGTGTCGGCTATGTCAGAGAAGCTTGTGGTTGAATTTGCAGACGGAGTAACTCAAACCGTCCCCGCTTCATACATTGAGTTCGTTGAACGTCTAGTTCTCCCACAGTTCAAAGATATGCCGCGTGATGAGGTAAGAAGCGATTGACATTAATCGCATTATTTTATTATCCGACATTTTTTCATTTCCGTTGTAATGCAGATCAAAGAGCTTCATAGACGCGAGGGTTTAGAGCAAGCTAGCGCCTACCACATAATGGAAAGCACCCGTTTCACAGCATAAGTGTAGAACCAGCTTGTCTTGTTCAGCTCAATATGTCAAGTATGTGTACTATTTAAATGTTTGTATGTTATTTTGGACAATTTGAGTGTGAGATCTTTATGTTCTTCTCTTGTGAAGTGACGGTAACTTAATATTAACCGTTACCGACGAATAATGGAAAACAAAGTGTCATGTCATTCATGTAAAATCTTTTGATACTGACGTGACACTTGATTTTGGTGACTCAACACCTCTTGGTGTTGAAGACCCACGTGCCCTTTATGTTCCTTTACTTAGTGTCTTCTTTCTTTTGGCTTTATTGGATCGTTTCAGTGTTCACGTAGATAAATTTGACATCACATGCTTTTTCCTTAATTTTTAGGGTTCTTTTTTTATGTTGTTGTTTTAAGTCTTAAATATTTTTACGCAGTTAATATATATCTTAGAAGCCTTTTCTATTTAGCTATTATTCGTTTATAGTTATAGTTTGGGTCTAAATTAGTTTACAAGTAATATTATGACCGGTCGCATTCCTCGATTCTAAGCGATTACTAGCTAGTAGCTAAGCAATTTCTAAAGTTTGTTTAAGGATCAACTTTTTGTATCCTATATTTAAATATTAATGATCAAAATAGTTGAATGCCAAAATCCCTGTATATAGTTTTTATCCCACTAGCTCTGGAGATCCAATATTCTATTCTTTTCTTTTTTTAATCCAATTCTAATCTTGTCGTTAGCAATCATAGATTCTTAGCTTTTTCCCACACTCTTTCTAGTTATTAAAATACGAATTTACGATAAGAGATGAGAAAAATCAACCAAAGTTGTTAAATAGGTATAACAAGATAAATAAGAAGAAGCAAGCAAGGCTCAGTTTCTCAGAAACAACTCCAAGATGGGTTCCTTTGACTTGCCTCACAGTTCATCGTTCAAGGTTCTTTCTCAAATTTGATTTTTCTAAGGAGAAATATTTTTTTTGTTACGATAATACATAATTTGTACGTAACAGGGAGGAAGTGAAACATTTCTTCGGAATGTGTTCGAGAATATACTGAAAACGTATCTAAGGAAGAACCCGACGGCGAAGACGATATGGGAACTGGTTCAGTCGTTGGACAACGAAAAGATCTGCTACGACCACTTCACTTTCAGGACATTAAAGGTAAGAATTTTACTCTTCAAGATTTGGTGAAACTAATTGTGTAAATTATTATTTTATTTTTTTTGGGGGGGGGGGGGGGGGTATGAGTTAGGTCGATGGCTATGGAATAGACTCCTTGTCGAGTTTTTTCATGGATTATGGATATAAAATTGGAGGTGGACTTGATTTTCCAAAGAAGAAACTACGAGTTCTTTGGTTTTCTCCACCCGATGTTCACGTCCCTAATGACGGTCACGGTCTAGGCAACGGCCCTTTCCCACGACTTGTTATAGCTGAGGTTCTTGTGGACGAACTAACCCCTGAATCACAGGTATGATTGATCGCAAACAGAAATTTTTTGTTATTTGTGTTTAACGTATCTAATTTAGCCTTTGTTGGTTTTAGGGGATAATAAGGAAGTATTTGAAACCAGGTGGTGGCAAGCAAGCGGTTCTTTCTAGTACTTTGGGGTCTTTAATATGGGAGAAGCCCACATGGACCGACTTCAAGCAACTTGCCAAGTATATATTTACTTTCCAATTTATAATCGTATATTTTTTTTTAATTTTTTTTTTTTGACATCTTTGGATCGACAAGGCCCGATCCTATAGCCAATCTCTACTACGCGGAGTAACACGATTTACTGGAGTCGAACTCTGGTGGAGAAGGCGGAGTCAAGTGGATTTAACCACTTGACTAAAGGCACATCCCCAATCGTATATCTTTAATTGATAAATTTTAGTAAAAAGTTAATGTGTAGAGCTAATTTAGTATTTATGAACGATGAAGAGAAAGCGAAATTGCGGCATGGACGCTTATCCACGGCTACACAATGAATCATCTTGCTTTTGCGGTTCATCGATTCAAACATCGTTTCAGTGATATCAAATTCGTCAAACAGCATCTTGAGGAAAAGGGATACAAACTCAACAGTGACGGAGAAATCCTCAAAGGTTTTTTTTACATATTCCCTTCATGAGATATTTCATTGAAATGGTTCTATTTTATATACATTGTTTAATAGAAATGTATGTGGACATACATATTTCAGTGAGTCAAGATGGTCTACTATTTCAAGTTTCATCAATCTCGGAAAGGCTTCCGGTAACATTTGCAGATGGAGTAACTGAAACAATCCCAGCTTCATACATTGAGTTCACTCAACGTCAAGTTCTTCCAGAGTTCAAAGATGTGCCGCATGATGAGGTAATGTAAAGAAAGAAAGAATGAAACGATTCGCATTTTCTTGCATTACTTTGTTATTCAGCATTGTTTTTCATTGCCACTGTGATGCAGATCAAAGAATTTCATAGACGTGAAGCTTTTGAACTCGATAATGCCAACCACGTAATGGAAAGCACCCGTTTCACAACCAAATTCTAGAACCAGACTTGTCTTGCTCGGCTTAGTATATGTCAAATCTGTGTGTAACTATATATGTGTTTGTGTGCAATCTTATATTTATATATATATATATATATATATGCGTGATGTGTCTTTGCGATATCTTGTCATTTTAGTGTGAAGTGACAATAACTTAAGCATATATAATTATATATTATCTCTCAATCTCTCATGATGGATCTGACGAATCATGGGAAATAAAATGTATTGGTGTGTGTATGATATGTGATATTTGTGAGCTTTTTCGTTTTTCCCCTAGAATATTTTAATGGATGTTATTTTCGTTTTTCCCCTAGAATATTCTTCTCACTAATTTTTATTTTTCAATATTGACGTTTACAACTTCACAAATCCAAAATCACCTCTGATCTCGCTTAACATGACAAGTATCACCGACCGTGAAGTGTTTCTTGTATAAAGGCAAAAAAAATTGATCTAAATGACAGAATAATGTTATTTTTGGTTAGCTAAATGAAACAAGTAGTATTGGTTAACTTGACTGTTCCTCAGTTGAAGTGATCCGTTCCGTTAGATGAATTTTGGCCATAAGAATTTTTTTAACTCTGGTGGTAGTAATAATGCTTGGGGTAATTGAATAAGTCTGCAAGATTCTAGAAAAACAGAGTTAGGTAGTAGTAAGTAAGATATCGTGTATCATGTGCTTTTTGTTTTGTTTGTTTGTTAATAAATAAATAAAAGAAGTTTATTATCTGATAATAGGGAAAATTCGCGAAAAAAATCTCAACTATTTAATATTTCCTGAAAAAAAAATCTAAATTTCTTTTTGTTGTCGAAAAAAAAACTCAAACTAATTTACTGCTGACAAAACAAACACGAACTATTTTTTTTCAATTTTCTCTCTTCTGCGTTACGGACGTTAACGCTGTCGTCGACGCCGTTACTATTTTTTGGGAATATTCTTGAAAAAAACCAAGTTATTTAATTTTGCCAGAAAACTACCCGAATTATTTGTTCGTTGCCAAAAAAATATACAGATCAATATTTTTCTTCTCTTTTTGTCTTCCATCAACAATGTAAGGGGGTGAGAGCTAATAACTTTATGTGTTCTATTAAACCTCATATAACTAACAAGTTTTTAGTTTTCACTATTATTTAGAACAATTAAATTTAAGAACAAAAATATACAATTAGATTAGTCGATTTTCAAATTTCTCAATTAGATTTGTTTTCGACTCTATTTAGACTTTACAAATTTTGGGACATCATCAACAATAGAACTCTAAATTTCATAAGAGCTCCAAAAACTTTAGTAGATTTTCAAAAATTCTCTACATAAATCGACAAAAATACTCAAATGAAAAAATCGATTAATCTAATAGTAGTGAGAACTTGTATGAGTTCAAGAGAACACATAAAATTATGAGGTCTAACCACCTTACATCGTTAATGAAATAAAAGAGGAGGAGAAAAATATTGATATATGTATTTTTCTGGCAACAAAAAAATAATTCTGGTATTTTTCTGGCAAAATTAAATAACTTAAATTTTCTTAAGAAATTTTTCAAAAATAGTAGCGGCGTTAACGGTTGTAACGGAGACAAGAGAAAATTAGAATAAAAAAATAGTCTGTGTTTGTTTTATCAGGCTTAAATTAGTTTAGGTATTTTTCCGGCAACGAAAAAAATTCAGGTTTTTTTCTAGCAAATCTATATATATATATAATGGGAGAGTTATCTCTCCATCTAGGGTGTCCACATCATCATCCTATTTTAATTTTGTGTGGGCTTCACATATTTTATTGGGAGATTGACAAAAATAGCACTAAATAAAGTTTTTCTTCCAAAAATAGCACTACATATGAAAAGTTCCACAAATAGCACTATAAAATTTAAATAAATATTAAATATGAATAAATTGTTGAATTAAAATAAATAAATAAAATTAGAAATTTCCCGCCAAAAATTTTCTGTAAAGTAAATATATTTTCCCGCCAAAAATTTTTTATCAAAATTTTCCCGCTAAATTTTTTTCAACATTTTCCAGTAAAAAAAAATTCCGTCAAAATTTTCCCGCCAAAAAAAAATTCACAAAATTCAGGAAGGATTTCACGAAATTCAGGAAGGATTCTTTGAATTTCAGGAAAGGATTCCTAAAAGGATTACACGAAATTTAGGAAGGATTCAACGAAATTAAGGAAGGATTCCACGTAATTCAGGAAGGCTTTCATGAATTCATAAATTTTAGGAAAGATTCCACGTAATTCAGGAAGGGTTTCCCGATTCGTGAAATCCTTCCTATATTACGCGAAATCCTTCCTAAATTTCTTGGATTTTTTTTGGCTGGAAAAGTCGGACGGAATTTTTTTTGGCGGGAAAATTTTGACGATATTTTTTTTTTCCGGAACGGAAAATATTTGGGCGGGAAATTTTGACAAAAAATTTTTGGCGGGAAAATTTTGACGGGATTTTATTTTGGCGGGAAAATATTAACGATGAATTTGTGATTTTTTGTATTTATTTATAATTATTTATTCATTTAAAAAATCAAAAATAAGGTGCTATTTTTGTCCAATAAACTTTTAAGTGCTATTCTTGTCCCAAAAACTTGATTTGGGGCTATTTTTATTAAAACAAAAAACATTAAAACTATAATTAATTCACATATTTTATAATTTATATTAAATAGAGATTGGATAAATATAAAATTAGATAATCGTATCTTAACATATAATGAGTAAATATTCTAAATGACAAGAGATATGAAAAACTAACTTATCATATATTTCTCAATATTTTAGTGATAAAACAATCATTTTTGAAAGTTACAATTATTTAGTACAATAAAGAAAAATAAAACTTAAAAAATATTAAATTTAAAGGTTTTTACTGAAAATAAAAAATAATTTATTTCAGAAAACTACACTTTTAAAAAAATATATTTTTAATGTTAAAGTATCAATTCCTGATACTGATTAAAAATAAGTAGGATTGAGTACATATTATTATTTATAATGATAATATAATATAAATAGTTACATTAATAAATTTTTTACTATGATCAGTATTTTCTAAATTAAAAAGTGGTGAGTTTTTTTGAAAAATCAAATGAATACCTAAAAAGAAAAACTAAATATTAGTCAGTGTTTATGAAATTTTAAAATAGATCGAAAACGTTTAAGGTGATTCGAAATAAAACAAAAACTATCCTAAAAATCACAAACAAGAATAAAATAATCCAATCGAATAAGAAACTGTGTAGTAATAATATTTGCAAATGCTATTTGGAAAATAGAATAATTATGGTCTATTGAAGAGTTTCTAATTAGAAGTAAAAGTTAAGGATTAAAAGAATGTATTATAAAATTAGAATGATTTATATGAATTCGTAAGTTACAAATTTTACGAAAATCAACATTAATAATACTATATAGAATCATAATATACGTCAAATTATATACGTGAACTTATTTTTGTATTTTTCAAATGGTCAAGATAAAGTGCAAAATTTGATGTTGAAATCCGATGTTTGTAAATAGGAATGAGTCCATATATGAGATTTATTGTCTATAAAGCAATTTTACATGCACCAATAAAGAAGAGCATAATCGGATAAAAGAGAATTTCTTTCATATAATTTGATCGCATTCTGTCCAATAAAATATAATTATCATGTCAGAGATCGTAGTGGTGGAGTAGTGGACAACGTGCCTCCCTGAATATACTTTAGTACGAAATGCCTTCGTAAATAAGAACAATTAAGCAATTGCTAGCTAGTAGCGGAGAAATTTCTACAGTTTTTTTTAATTTAAAAAAAAAAAATTCTAAAGTTTGTTTAAGGATCAACTTTTTGTATCCTATGTTTAATCTATCTATATATATAATGGGAGAGTCTTCTCTCCATCTAGACTATCCACATCATCATCCACATAAGCATGCATTTAATTAAAAATTAAAAATTATAATTTATTTAAAATATTCATTCAATACATATTTATTTTTATTTATTGTTATTTATGATTAAAAATATTTAAGTTAAATAAAAATTAATTAAAAATATAAGTAAAAAAACAGAGAAATATAAATTTATACATAATAATATAATTTGAATTTTGGAGAGAAAATGTTTAAGATTAATCATATTTAAAAATTTATAAACATTTTCTTTTTAAATTGATATATTAAAAATCAATATGATGGATATTTCAGTTTTAAAATTGATATATTCAAAATCAATATGATGGATATTTCTAAAACTGTATGAAATTTGAAAGATCATACATTTATTAGCTTTCAGAAAAAATATAGTAATGAATCATGACATACTTAAAAATCAATATGTTGGGTAATTCTAAAATTGTATGAAAGTTGAAAAGACATACATTTTTTAGTTTTCAAAAATCTATATAGTGAATTAGTGATGAATCTTATGACATATTACTAATTAAAATAATAGTTGATTAGTTTTTTAATTACAGTAAACCAAATGTTAAAATATAGCTAAATAGTATCGTGTATAATAATTTAAAAAAAAACTAAAATATAATTATGTATACTTTTAGTTTTTAGCTTATCATAAATATAATATAAAATTATATTTGATAGTAATACAAACATTATGCACTTATTAAAAATTTAAAAGTTTATTTTAAGAATATCAAAATAGGTGGAAAGAGCACAATTTCAACATTAATTTTAATAAGATAGAAACAAAAAAATATATATATATATATAATATGAAAATATCGGAACTGAGTGACAAAATTATTCTTAGAAAGCTAAATTCCTAAAGAGAAAGTCAATATATAAAATGAGATATATATATATATATATATACACATATTTTTTCTTTTCTTTTTTGCTTCTAAATACAATAGATATAAATTGGAAAAAACTAAACTACATTTAAAATATCAGACTTGAGTTTCGAAAATTATAAAAGAAAATGTTATTCATAAGAATTCATGCACTAAAAGAGAAAATAGATAATGAACGGTTATAAGATACTAACTCAATACCAAAGAAAAAAACGTTTAATATATGTAGCATATTATAAATAGACGTGTAAATCTATATAATTATCACTTCTAACATTTATATTATATTTATATAACCGTTTTTATCGATATAATTACATATAGTTTTCAAATAGTATTGTAATAAAAAATATTTAAAATAATATAATTTACAAAACTATAAAAAATGAGTATATATTATTAAACGCGTGGGTCCATTTCTAGTATTAATAATCAAAATAGTTGAATGCCAAAATCCATGTATATAGTTTTACCCCACTAGCTCTGGAAATCCAATTCTATTCTTTTTTTTTTTTTTTTTTTTTAATCCAATTCTATTCTTGTCGTTAGCAATCTTTTTTTTTTTTTTTTTTTGTCGTTAGCAATCATAGATTCTTGGCTTTTTCCCACACTCTTTCTAGTCACTAAAATACGAGTTTACGATAATTAAGAGATAAGAAAAAAATCAAGCAAAGTTGTTGTATAACAAGATAAATAAGAAGAAGCAAGCAAGGCTCAGTTCCTCAGAAACAACTCCAAGATGGGTTCCTTTGACTTGCCTCACAGTTCATCGTTCAAGGTTCTTTCTCAAATTTGATTTTTCTAAGGAGAAATGTTTTTTGTTACGATAATACATAATTTGTATGTAACAGGGAGGAAGTGAAACATTTCTTCGGAATGTGTTCGAGAATATACTGAAAACGTATCTAAGGAAGAACCCAACGGCGAAGACGATATGGGAACTGGTTCAGTCGTTGGACAACGAAAAGATATGCTACGACCACTTCACTTTCAGGACACTAAAGGTAAGAACTTTACTCTTCAAGATTTGGTGAAACTAATTGTGTAAATAATTTTTTGTTTTGTCTTTTTTCTTTGTGGCTATGAGTTTAGGTCGATGGTTATGGAATAGACTCCTTGTCGAGTTTTTTCATGGATTATGGATATAAAATTGGAGGTGGACTTGATTTTCCAAAGAAGAAACTACGAGTTCTTTGGTTTTCTCCTCCCGATGTCCACGTCCCTAAAGATGGTCACGGTCTAGGCAATGGCCCTTTGCCGCGAATTGTTATAGCTGAGGTTCTTGTGGACGAACTAAGCCCTGAATCACAGGTATGCATGATTGATCACAAACACAAAATTGTCATTAATTATGAGTTTTTAACATATCTAATTTCGCTTCTGTTGGTCCTATATAATTAGGGGATAATAAGGAAGTATTTGAAACCAGAAGGTGGCAAGCAAGCGGTTCTTTCTAGTACTTTGGAGTCTTTAATATGGGAGAAGCCTACATGGATTGACTTCAAGCAACTTGCCAAGTATATATTTACTTTCCAATATAATCGTATATCTTTAATTGATAAACTGAAAAATAATTCATTCTTTTCGTTTTAGTAAAATGTTATGTGGATCTACACTTTTTGCCAACCGGTACTAGAAACTATTAACTTTTTCAAAATTTGTTCGTAATATGTTTTAGTCTATGGGAAATTATCCATCAAAAGCTAACACCTAATTGTAAATACATTAATTTATTTGTAAGTAAAAAAAAAAAAAAAAAACTCTTACACGAACTATACTATATACTATACAATACTGGTACATATATTTTACAAACAAATTATTATTAAATAAGATTTTGGGTGATAGGTTTGATGGTATTAAGGACAAGTACAAAAAATGGTAGTTTCTAAATTCTAACAATGCTTTGAGAAAATGATAGATCAACTTTTAAACAAAAAAAAGTGATAGATGAACAATAGTTTTTCTAAAAAATATTATAATAAGAAGAAGAAGTAAGAATTGAGTTTGAATTGTTTTTTTTTTAACTAATTATTTTAATGGTTAGAGCTAATTTAGTTTGGAATTGTATGTATGAACGATGAAGAGAAAGCGAAATTGCGGCATGGACGCTTATCCACGGCTACACACTGAATCATCTTGCTTTTGCGGTTCATCGATTCAAACATCGTTTCAGTGATATCAAATTCGTCAAACAACATCTTGAAGAAAAGGGATTCAAACTCAACAGTGACGGAGAAATCCTCAAAGGTTTTTTTACGTATTCCCTTCATGAGATATTTCATTGAAATGGTTCTTTTTTATATACATTGTTTAATGGAAATGAATGTGGAAATACATATTTCAGTGAGTCAAGATGGTCTACTGCTTCAAGTTTCATCGATCTCGGAAAGGCTTCCGGTAACATTTGCAGATGGAGTAACTGAAACAATCCCAGCTTCGTACATTGAGTTCACTCAACGTCAAGTTCTTCCAGAGTTCAAAGATGTGCCGCATGATGAGGTAACGTAAAGAAAGAAAGAAAGAAACGATTCGCATTTTCTTGCATTACTTTATTATTCAGCAATTTTTCATTGTTACTGTGATGCAGATCAAAGAATTTCATAGACGTGAAGCTTTTGAACTCGATAACGCCAGCAACATAATGGAAAGCACCCGTTTCACAACCAAATTCTAGAGCCAGACTTGTCTTGCTCGACTAAATATGTCAAATTTGTGTCACTATTTATGTGTCTGTGTGCAATCTTATATATATATGCGTGATGTGTCTTTGCGATATCTTTATGTTGTTATGTTACTGTGAAGTGACAATTACTTAAAACATTTATATTATCTCTCATGATGGTTATTGTTGATTAGAGTGACCAACTTGTCAAATGGATCACATTATTGACGAATCATGGGAAATAAAATGTATTGGTGAGTATGATATGTGATATTTGTGAAGTTTTTCGGTTTTCTCCTAAAATAATTTTTATGAGTGTGATTTGATCGTGTATGTTGCTATAAATAGGGGATTTACTTGAACAATTTCTAATCATTTAACATAAAATTGTTAGTATAAATATTTCGTATCTTGTAAAGATATGAAATAGTATTTTTTATTTTTTTTGTGCAGCTATATGATTATTTCACATTATCTCTTACGGAATATCTTATTTGTATCATGTTTGTATTCCACTTGTTTTTCTTTCTAAAAAATGTAAAATTGTATTCAAAAAAAAAAAAACAATTCTACAATGAATGCTTCATATAGCGCTTAGTTTTTGAGAGGAGAGAATATTGAATTCAACCAAAAAAGTTATGGATGAGTTTGGACCAGAATTGGATCTTTCCTTCATACCCACCATGGTTCCAGAGAAGAATGAGCTTGAGCTTGTTCCGGATGTTTTCGTCAATAAGACGGGTTAGAAGTTGAGCCGAGATTGCGAATATCCCATGACGCCGACATTGTATTGGTGCTATTTTCCAAAATCGACATCTCTTTTATTTTTACTAGGTTACTAGATATTAACCCGCGGTACACCGCGGGTCTATAATTTTATTAAATAATAATAATTTTTTTTTTTTAAGATGATCTATACATATATGCTATTGTTTTATTTGATTTAAATGTATGGTACACTGTATGACGATATTTATAACAAAAGATTTAAAATTTGAAGTTTTATTTGTTTTGTTAATATTATTTGTTTAGTTTTGTTTAGTGTTTAAAATTGTATAGTTATATTTTGATTGTTAATTATAGGATTTTACCCGTAGTATATCATATTGTATTAATATCGACCACAAACTCCTCCACGACCATATAACTCTGTCCCGTCCAATCTACATCATTTTGTCATTTTCCAATAAAATTCAAAGATTTCTAATATTTGAAACTTCATTTAATATCGACCCAAAATTCATAATAGTATTTTGATTGTTATATCTAGGATTTCACCCGTAATATATCGTCCCGTATCTTTTGTAAATATTTATAATGTTTAAATTTCTTATAAATTATTATTAAATTCAACTATTTAATATTTGAAACTTTATAAAATTCCTAATATTATAAATATTTACAACGTTTTATAAAATTAAACTTTTTAAAAAGTTTAAATAAATATAATATTTTACTTTTAATAAAGTTTAATAGATTAAATTAAGAACTTATATTTAAAATGTTTTCTTTGGAAACTTTAATAGATTAAATTAAGAACTTATATATAAAATTAGTCAAAACCAAAATATACATAAAAAAAGTATTAGAAAACATTAAACATGAAATACATTGGATAAGAAAATAAAATATATATGATGTGATTTTTAACCATATAAAACATGTAATTGTTATAAAAGGTTTTAAAAGATTAGAAAAATTACACTTACCAACCAAAACACGGATCCACAGGTTTTTGTAAAAGTATATATCATAAAAACAATTAAAATACATAACATTAGAATAATGAAAATTAAGAATAAGAACTTTATTTTATTAACAAATTCGTTTCCTTTTTTCGTTAAAGAAAATGAATTAATAGAATGGACTTGTTATGTTAGCCTATAAAAGAAAATCATTTACAATCATTATGAGGAAACATGAAATTCTGAAAATGTAAAAAAATACTGGACATTAAAAAATTTGTATCTGAAGATAAGAAGAAGGACTAACTAACCTTTTAATGCATACCTTATTTGATAGTTTCTTTGGAGACGGAGATGATGATGTTCATAGTTTCCAAGATCTTAAAATCGAAAGCTGCAACATAAGAAAAGTAGGTGACAATTAATTTTTTAAAAGAAAACAAACGTGAAATATAAAATATACTAAGAAATTGTTTAAAAGAAGCCATATAAATCTCTATTACGAAAACGTTTAGTATTGTGGATGTTTAGTATTGTGGATCAGTGGTTGAAAAGATCTTCTTTATATAGATGAATGAAAAGTACTCGAGAAGTTTAGGTTTGACCTACAAATTAAAACAATTTTGCAAATATTCGAAAATTATATATTTGATTCCTAATATATTCGATTTTGTATTATCAACTGAATAACGTCTATATGCATGGTGAGATTTATGAATGAGGAAAGCTAATTAAAGATATTTCCATTTGTTTTAGGAAGTTTGTTGAATAATATCTAAACGAAACAAAAAAATCTTTTAAAGATATTTTATGAGAAATAATATATTCGCCAATTTGGGTTGGGGATCAAGTATATGAAAATCTCGTAAATATTATATGTTATATTTATTACATATACTAATTTTCACATTGTAGTTATTTAAATCAAAGATTTTAATGAGTTAATTATGGAATACAAAATATCTATGTAAATCAAAAAGTTTAAAGAACCAATAGCGCTGGAATTGATTTTTTTGCTATAACGATTACTAAAACATTTAAGTAAATAAAGATATTTCGTTATGATTTTTCAGCATATTCGAATTGTTGATTATTTCGAAATTTAAGGATGTTTAAGAAATCATGATTGATTTCCGATTTCATAAATTTTGATTAGAATTAAAAATAAAAGATTTAGTATTTAGATAAGGAATATACTATAATAATGATTATTAGTACTCGAATATATTAGGAATATTCGTATTGTTAGTTTATTTAATTCAAAAATTATAATTTGCGGATTTAAAGGAAGATCTTCTCGAGATTTTAGGAATATAATCGAGATTTTAGTAACAAATGTGATCACATTAAATTTTCGAAAGATTTGAAATATTTGTATCCAAATTGTTAGAAACAAATTAGGATAGATAATTTTTGGTTAGTATCTTTTTTAATATTTTCAAATCTTAAGAATTAAACCCATTGACATTATATTGTTGAATTTATTTTTTTAAAATTACGTAATATTAAATAAAAAAAATTAAATAACTAACTATTTTCATTTGATGGTGTAGACAAATTATTATTATTATTTATGTAATTTAATTACAAATAACAAATATTAATTTTTATAACAAAACAAATTATTTTTGTAAGAACAATTTTTTCCCAAATCAATATTTTACAAAATATTTATTTTAATCACATATTCTTTCTATATAGAAATAAATAGTTAAATAATTATTGTTAGAAGTAGTTAAGGTAATTAACAAATATGGTTAGTTTAGATATATTATATATATTTCCAATTTAGGTGTTAATTAAGAATTAATGTGGTTTTAAGACAACATTCCTAAAAATCCTTATCCTAGATCCGAATATAGTTAATCCCGGATAAAACCCGGATCCAAAAGACTTTTTGCAAAAATCCCCTGTAAAAATGTATATGTAGATGAACCCCGCGATATCGCGGGGAACTCATTTTCAACAAATATATTTTATTACGTTTATGTATTAAATTATTATTATAATATATTCAAAAAATTGAATTATTGTATAAAATGAACTATGTCTTAAAGTTATATCGTAAATATTTTCTAAAGATATTAAAAAAAATTTATGAATAAAAATGTAAAAAAAAAAAAAAAAATTATGATTAAAAAACACTTTTGAAACATTTTTTGTGAATATAAAATTATTTATAAGTGACAAAATAACTAACGAAGAGTTATAATATAGAGAAGTTCTAGCGGGTCAAAACCAAAAAGATATAAAAACACAACCAGAAAAATAACCGTCAACACAAAAAATAACCGTCAATATTTTAACGAAGAGTTGCGATAAAAAGACATAACCGAGAAAAAATAACTGTTGATATTTTAACAGAAAGTTGCGATAAAAAACACAACCGAGAAAAAATAACCGTCAATATTTTAACGAAAAGTTGCAATAAAAAGACACAAAAAAAAAGTAAATGTCAACATTTTTACGGAATGTTATGATAAAAAGACACATCAGAAAAAATAACTGTCAACGAAAATGTAACCGTAAATATTTTAACGAAGAGTTGCGATAAAAAACACAACCGAGAAAAAATAACAGTCAATATTTAAACGAAAAATTTCGATAAAAAGACACAAACGGAAAAAAATAACCGTCAATATTTTAACGGAAAGCTGCGATAGAAAGACACAACTGAGAAAAAGAAACCTGTCGATATTTTAACGGAAAAATACGATAAAAAGACAAAAACAAAAAAAGAAACCGTCAATATTTTAACTGAAAGTTACGATAAAAGACACAACCGAAAAAATAACCATCAATGAAAAATTGTAACCGAAAATATTTTAACAAAGAGCTAGGACAAAAAGATACAACCGAGAAAAAATAACCGTTAATATTTTAACGAAAAGTTGCGATAAAAAGACACAAACGAGAAAAGTAATGTTAATATTTTAACGAAAAGTTGCGATAAAAATAAACAACCAAAAGAATAATCGTCAACGAAAAAAAGAACCGTCAATATTTTAACGAAGAGTTGCGATAAAAAGACACAACCGAGAAAAAATAACCGACAAACTTTTAACGGAAAGTTGCGATAGAAAGACACAAACAAACAAAAATGACCGTCAATATTTTAACGGAAAGTTACGATAAAAAGACACAACCGAAAAAATAACTGTCAACGAAAAAAGTAACCGTCAATATTTTAACGAAGAGTTGCGATAAAAAGATAAAACCGAGAAAAAATAACTGTCAATATTTTAGCAAAAAATTGCGATAAAAAGACAACCGAGAAAAAAATAACCGTCAATATTTTAACAGACAAAAAAAGACACAATCGAGAAAAAAATATCGTCAATATTTTAACAAAAAGTTATGATAAAAACAGATACGAAAAAGTAACCGTCAATATTTTAACGGAAAGTTTCGAGAAAAAAACACAACAAAAAAAATAACCGTCAACGAAAAAAGTAACCGTTAATATTTTAACGAAAAGTTGCGAGAAAAAGACACAACCGAAAAATAACCGTCAACTAAAAAATTAACCGTCAATATTTTAACGAAGAGTTGCGATAAAAAGATACAACCGAGAAAAAATAACCGTCAACATTTTAACGGAAAGTTGCGATAAAAAGACACAACCGAGAAAAAATAACCGTCAATATTTTAACAGAAAATTGCGATAAAAAGACACAAACGAATAAAGTAACAACCAATATTTTAACAAAAAGTTGCAATGAAAAGACACAACCGAAAAAAACCCGTCAATATTTTAATGAAGAGTTGCGATAAAAAACACACCCGAAAATATAACCGTTAATTTTTTAATGGAAATTACGGTAAAGAGACACAACCGTTCAGAAGTGCAAAATGCATTTATTGAGGTTGTTATTTTGGTTAATAAAACCAATTTGATATGTAGTCTAATGGTTGATGTAAAAAAACTTCGTAATATTACTAACTATACAAAAAATGCAATGAAATTATATAATGAAAAGACGTAACTTTAAATGAATAAATGCAACTATAAAGATATAATTGTAAACTGAAAAGATACGACTGTAATTGAACAAATATAACCGTAAATAATTGGGAAATTGTTAAAAATGCCCTTTTTGGTGTGCCCTTTTTCAAAAATGCCCCTTTTAGATGTCCATTTTTAAAAATGCCCCTTTTTAAATCTGAAATTTTTATAAAGTTTTATTAGGTTTATAAGGTACTTATGGATTGTAACTACTACTTGAAAACTCGATCCAAGTATTTATAAGGGTTTATAAGGTGTTTTTAAAGGTTTTACAAGTTATTTTAAAGGATTTTTAAGGTTTTTTAAAGGTTTTACAAGATATTTTAAAGGTTTTTAAAGGTATTTAAAATGCATTTATAAGGTATTTATAAAGTATTTATAAGATTTTAGATACATAGAAATGTAGTTTGTGTATGTTTTAATAATGTTACATACATATTTGGGTAAATCTTATATTTTTAAGAGCATTTTTTATAAGATTTTAAAGAAGGGACATTTTTGAAAAGTGGCATTGAAAAAGGGGCTTTTTGCAAAAAAGCCCTTAAATAATTCAACGAAAATTTAAAGAGAAAATTCAATAAAAAAACATAACCGTAAAAAAATAACCGATTTAAACGAAAGGTTGCGATAAAAAGACGCAACCGTTCAGATGTGCAAATGGTATTTATTAGATTGCTATTATATATAGATTTTTCAATGTCGACGTGTACAACTTCACAAATCCAAAATCACCTCTGATCTCGCTTTAACATGACAAGTATCACCGACCGTATCATGAAGTGTTTCTTGTATAAAGGCAAAAAAAAAATTGATCTAAAAGACGACTAATGTTATTTGGGAAAATTGGAAATAAATGATATCTACTTAAAAATTTGTCCATATACACCTTTTTTTGTGAAATTGTCAGTTTGGACGATTTTACCCCTACACCCTAATTTAAATGTTTTTTTAAAAAAAATAATCATAAAAACAGGTAGATATACAAGAGTATAGGTGATTTGAAGTGAAAATTTTTAGATTTGGTTTAAAAAAGTTGATTTTTTGATAGATAAAGTTTCATCTAATTTTGGTAGAACACGTTTTCTAGAGTTCTGCGAAACTCAGAATGTGTATTCTGCCTTTTTGTACATGTTCTACATATTTCAGACTAGATTTCTGTTCTGAGAATTTTAGAAATCCAAAAATCATATATCTAAAATATTTAGAACATGCATTCTACGTTTTGCTCTATGTTCTAAATATTTTAGAATATCCGTTCTAATAATTTCTACATCTTCTGCCATCGTTAGAAATTGTAATCTTCGTTTAGAATGTAAATTATACGGTATTGCAGATTTCGATTTCTGTAATTTTTAGAATGCTCTAAATATAGAAAATAAATATATAACACATACAAATACATACACTAACCCGAATCGAAAGAACTTAAAAAACTACATGCAATTAAAATTGAGACATGTATATCTCAATAAATGGAGACATATACACGATTATACAAAAAGATGATTCAAAGAGCTAGAAGACTTAATAAATTAATTAGCAATTAAAATTTGGAGTTTTAAAACAAACAAAAATTGAAATCTCTAAACGAGTAACACAAATTTCAAAGAACATAACCAAAAATATAGAGCAACATGTGAAGCCCGAAACAACAATTCTCTGAAATAATCTTCATAAACTCTGTTTAAATCAATGAATTCCAACACAAACACATATACATTAACATGAATCAAAGAGATAGAAGACTTAATCAATCTACATGCAATTGAAATATTTCCAATGACGATATGTGGATGGCTTTAGCTAAAAAGATTTACAATTGACGTAGATGTAGAAGATTTACAAGAGACAAAACCTATAACTAAAAAAAAAAACAAGACACGTACTTGAGCTACTCACGACACACACACACAAAGTAATATCAAGTGGAAGGTTTAGATTTTTGTAAATAGATTATAAAGTTTTATTTTTCAAATCAAACTTTTATTAATTTTGAGAGAAAATAAGGGTAAAATTGGGTTTTTTATTTTCAAAAAACCTATTTGACCAATCTACAAGAAGAAGTGATATATGGATAAATTTTTAAGTAGATATCATTTATTTCCAATTTTCCCATGTTATTTTTGGTTACCTAAATGAAACAAGTAGTATTGGTTAACTGATTGTTCCTCAGTTGAAATGATCCGTTCCGTTAGATGAATTTTGGCCATAAGAATTTTTTTAACTCTGGTGGTAGTAATAATGATTGGGTTAAATGAGGACAGGTTAAGTCTACAAGATTCTTAAAAAACAGAGTTAGGTAATAACTAAGATAGTAAGATATCGTGTATCATGTGCTTTTTGTTTTGTTTGGTTGTTAATAAATAAATAAAAGAAGTTCATTATCTGATAATGAATGATTTTATAAAAATAAGCACGTCCCGTCCAATACATATTTCTCCGGTGTATAATGTTTAATGTTCCTTTTTAATTAGTTAATAAATAAATAAAGGAAGTCCATTATCTGATAAAATTGTAAAAAAGATTCGTTGACTGATTTTATATAATTAATCCCCTCCTGTCCAATAAAATATTTTTTCTCGTGCATGTTTAAAATTTTGTTCGCTTATAAATAAACGATAAAGAAGAGCATAATCGGATTAACGAGATTCCTTTAATATAAACTAATCGCATTCTGTCCAATAAAATATAATTATCTTGTCGTAGTGGACAACGTGACTCCCTGCCTGAATATACTTAAGTACGAAATGCCTTCGTAAATAAGACCAATTAAGCAAAACTGTGTTTCTAATACACAACTCAAGGACCTTCCCACATGGATTCTCTGGATATGGCTCACACGCCATCTTTCAAGGTTCTTTCTCTAAAATTTGATTTTTATAAAATTTAAAGAGTATTTGGACAATACATATAATCTCGATGTAACAGGGAGGAAGTGAAACATTTCTTCGAAATGTGTTTGAGAATATACTGAAAACTTATTTGAGGAAGAACCCGATAACGGAAAGGATATGGGAGCTAATTCAATCGTTGGACAACGAGAAGATTTGCTACGATTACTTCACTTTCATGACACTTAAGGTATTCCCTTGATTTTTAAGGAATCCACTGTTACATAGGATTTGGGGTACAATTGCTTCTTTTTTCTTTTTGCGTTTGCGTTTACGTTTACGTTTACATATATAATTATAGAATGAAGCCACAATATTTACTAAAACATGTAGTTTTTAGTGATTTTTGCTAATATCGTCATTGTTTTAGCACATGGATTTAAACATGTTGACACACAAAAAATCACATATATTTGTAATATTCGAGTCAAAAAGTAACTTTTTATTATAAAAAAAAAAAACTCAACCGATTATTGGGACAACACTAGAATTTGTTCACATATATATTTTTATGGTAATAGATAAATAGTTGGTATACTTTTAATTATAAATAGAAAATAATTTCATGAATTGTGTTCCTTTTTATGTTTCATTTTTGTATGGATAGGTCGAAGGTTATGGAATAGACTCTCTGTCAAGTTTCTTCATGAATTACGGATATAAAATAGGAGGTGGCCTTGATTTTCCAAAGAAGAAACTACGAGGTCTCTGGTTTTCTCCTCCCGATGTTATCGTCCCCGGTGATGGCCACGGCCTAGGCAACGGACCCTTACCCCGACTTGTTATGGGTGAGATTCTTGTGGATGAACTAAGCCCTGAATCACAGGTATTAATGACACAAACACATTATAGTTTTTAAGTTATTATAACGTTTTAGTTTTTTGAATAAAATGTAAAATTTATTCAAAAAAAACGTTTTCACATCAAGTGCAACATTTGGTTAAAATTTGCATACAAATTCCCCATCAAAACCTGCACATCTCTATTATAACGTTTTAACATATAAGATATATCTCTTTGTTGATTCTAAAAGTAATCAATGGTTTATTAGGAGATAATAAGGAAGTATCTGAAACCAGAAGGTGGTAAGCAAGCCCTTCTTTCAAGTATTCTTGGGTCTTTAATATGGGAGAAGCCAACATGGAGCGAGTTCAAGCAAATTGCCGAGTATATATATACACTATGCATTCTCTAAATATAATAAGTTTTAATTAAGTAATACATATTGATGATTAATTTGAGCTAACTAATTAAGTAACTATTGTGAACCCTGAAGAGAAAATGAATTGGCCGCTTGGGCGTTTATCAACGGCTACACGATGAACCATCTCGCATTTGCTGTTCATCGACTTAAACACCGTTTTAGTGACATCAAATGCATCATACAATATCTAGAGGAACATGGATTTGATCTTAACCATGACGGAGGAGTTCTCAAAGGTACCATATCCATATATGTTAAATCTCTCTTGTTTGGTTAGAGTTTCACACTGGAAGTTAGAAGGGATATAAAATAATAAATAAGAGACATGAGTTTATCTAATTATTGCTAAATAATTTTGAGTTGAAAACCATTAAATCCATCATGGTATCAGAGTCCGTGTTTGTTGACACAAGTAAGATTTATTATCAGTATTTAGAATTCGGTTCTAGATGGAATAATAAGAGACATTATTTCGAAAAACCGCGTTAGAATTCTATATCAAAAGTTAGAAAATACTTAAAATAAGATTAAAAACATGAAATACTTAAAATGTGATATGAGAGATATGAGCCGATCAACTTATTATCAACTACTTTTGAGTTGGGAGTCTATAAGACTTAAACACTTTCACCATTAATGAAATTGTTGATTGATTTCAGTGAGTACTGATGGGCTACTGCTACAAGTGTCGTCGATTTCAGAAAAGCTTCCAGTAGAATTTGCAGACGGCGTAACCAAATCAGTCCCTGCTTCATACATTGAATTCACTGACCGCCTCGTTCTGCCACAGTTCAAAGAATTGCCTTATGATCAGGTACGCTAGATCCTAATTCTAGGACTGCTTATATAGGAGGAGTTGCTAGTGCACAAGGTCGTCAAATTATTAACACTTTAGGATTCTAATATGTTTAGTTATGAATTTTAATCAGGCCCGACGCATGACACAATCAAGTGAAGCGATGACTTAGGGCATCAAATTAAAGGGGGCATATATTTTAGAAACTTTTTTTAGGGTCTTATATGTTAAAAAAAATTATAAGCTTTTTTTGAGAAATAAATTTGTTGGACTTTCCTTTCACTATATTTTATGGACTTTATGCATTTAAATTAATAAAATGTTAATTAATATATTGTTAATGATTTTTTTTGGAAACTTTTGGCTTAAAATAAAATAAAACCCTAAACGTTTACAAAGAATAAATGGGTTGGCATTACTATCCATTGAGACAGCTATGGTTGAAAAGCTCGACTATGTGAGTTTGATGAATGATTTTGCTTGTAAAAGTCTAAATAGAGCTATATTTAGAGAATAGATTTTTTTTTTCCTTACAAACTTTTTACGAAATTAATTACTGTTTTTTTTAGTTTAGTATGAGTTTTATTTTAATTTTATTTGTGATGCGAGGACAAATTTTTTTTTAACAAAGGGCATGATTTCTTTTAGTGGCATAGGGCATTTAGGTATACCGCACCGGCCCTGATTTTAATATATAAATAGGATCTATATTTAGTTAAAATATCAATACATAATAATCGTCGTCCTTCGTAATTTCGTATCATCGTATACAGTGCCGGCTCTATCCATGTGCGGGGAGTGCTCATGCACAGGATCCAAAAATTTTTTTGTCTTTTTTTCAACTAAATTTATTAAAATTATGGTCAAAATTTTTTTTTTTTTATATATACATAAGAAATTAGGGCCAATTGTTTTTTTTTTAGCTCAGAGTTCTTAATTTTTTTGAACCGGCCCTGATCGTATATAAGTTAATCAGTCCATTATATTCACGATTTATATCTACCCTTTGGTCGCAGATTAAAGAGTTCCATAGACGTGAAGACTTTGCACTCAATAACGCCGACAACATTTTGGAAAGCTCCCAAATGTCTAGAATCAGTTTGGTCCAATCCTGTCTTAAAACAAAAAGATATCAGTTATAGTATGTTTTTTTTCGTAAGTACTAATGTATTAGAACACTTCCAACAATAGTGTCTCCATGAGACATCCATAATAAAAATAAATCAAAAATAAATAAAAAATACTTTTTTAATCGAAAAAGCTGAGACACTTTGATACAAGTTTCTCATTTGAGACATTGTGAGAAACTCTCTCTCTCATACACATGTCACTCCTAGATTGGTTTAACAATTTCCTTTTAAATTTAATTATTCTAAGATTTATAATATCAATTAAATAGTTTATAAGTTTTTATTTTTTATTTTTTATTTTTCTATAATTCATAAAATAAAATTATCTATATATCAAGCTCCATTATACAAAAGTTTAAATTTTTTATTATTATTATTTTTAATTGATATTAGTTAAGGTTAATATAAATATAAATTTCTATTTTTAGTTAATAAAATACTATAATATTAGAAAATAAATATGAGATGAATAATCTGATATTTTGTCAATATTTTGATATTTTGATAAATAATGTGTTATATTTTGTCATTATTTACAAAATGTCCAATATAATTAAAATCTATTTGATAAAATGATGTGTAATTTTAATCATATTGTTTTACAAAATTTCTAATATAATTAAATGATATGTTTAAAATTTAGGGAGACTCACAAAAATGCCCCTTTTTCAATACCCCTTTTCAAAAATGCCCCCTTTGGATGTCCATTTTTAAAAATACCCCTTTTATGTACAAAATGACTAAATTACCCTTCTTTTAATAAAAGATATCATAAATATATAAGGAAATATAACAAAATTAGGTCCACAAAATACAAAATATTTTTTGGCGGGAAAAGTGATCCCCCAATTTTTCCCGCCAAAACACTTGTAAAAATTTGTAAAACCTTTAAAATACCTTGTAAAATTTTCCCGTAAAATTTTTTCCCGCCAAAAAATTTTCCCGTCAAAAATTTTTTTTTGCGGGAAAAGTGATTCCGTAATTTTTTTGGCGTTAAATTTTTGGCGGGAAAATTTTTCCCGCCAAAAATTTACAAGGTATTTTAAAGGTTTTTTACAAGGTATTTATAAGATTTTACAATATATTTTAAAAGGTTTTACAACGTATTTACAAGGTATTTATAAGATATTATAAGATTTTACAAGCTATTTTATAAGGTTTTTACAAGTTATAAGGTTTTACAAGTTTTTTATAAGGTTTTACAAGTTATAAATACCTTATAAAACCTTAAAAGTACCTTGTAAAACCTTTTAAAATACATTGTAAAACCTTACAAAACACTTGTAAAGACCTTGTAAAAAACCTTTAAAATACCTTGTAAATTTTTCCCGCCAAAAATTTTCCCGCCAAAAAAATTTCGCAAAAAAAATTGCGGAATCACTTTTTCCGCAAAAAAAATTTTTTGGCGGGAAAATTTTTTGGCGGGAAAAATTTTTACGGGAAAATTTTACAAGGTTTTTTAAAGGTTTTTACAAGTGTTTTGGTGGAAAAATTGCGGGATCACTTTTCCCGCCAAAAAATATTTTGTATTTTGTGGACCTAATTTTGTTTCAAATAAGGGTAAAATGGTCATTAAAAATTAAAAGAGGGCAAACTTAAAAATGGACTCTAAAAGGGGGCATTTTTGAAAAGGGGTATTGAAAAAGGGGCATTTTTAACAATTTCTCTAAAATTTATTATAAATTTTTTATTAAAATATGATAGTCGAAGATGAACGAGACCAACACACTCAATATAATGTCTCCCAATTCCAGCAAAGAGAAGAGAATGAGAGTACACAAGTGGATTTCACATATTCTACAACTATGCCTACTAATTTGGGCAACATTCTCGGCAATCGAATTCGAGTTCGTGATAGAGATATACACCAACAATTAAAAGCCGACTTAGTTGAGCATATATGGGAAAAGTTTAGCGCATCATCAAGTGAAGAGTAAAACATATATTATCTATTTTGGTTTTGTATATTTTTATTTGCATTTTAATTTATGTTATCATGGTTTTATATGTAATTTTGTGTTTAATTTATATATCTTTATTATGGTTTTATATGTTGTTTAAAATTCAATTTATGTTTAATTGTGGTTTAAAAAATATATTATTTATAATAAATAGTACTATTAATTAATGTTTTTAAAATTATTAATATTCATTATATTATTTACTTCTATAGAAAATATAATTATTTAGTTTGAATGACTATATTTAAGATATAATTTGATATGTTTAAAAATATTATTGAAAAATAAATTTAATATAAAAATATAAATATTATATTGATGAGACATCCATAGAGATATCTCACCAATAGAAGTAGAATTTTAGTGTGAGTTTCTCTAAATAAATTAAACATAAAAATATTAATATTATATTTGTCAAACACTCCATGGGTGTCTACCATTGGAGATGCTCTTATGTTCGATGCGTGTGCCTAGTATCTGTGTGTTACTCTCCAGGAAAATTTGTGGTGTGGCGATTACTTATAAGGTTAATATCACATATATGAAATAATAATCTCCTCCTCCTCGCTCCTCATGATTCAGAAATATTCAACTTAATAACTTCAGTAATAAATATCCCCCTCATGATTTATAATTTGGTATTTACACTGGTCATAACTAAAAAACATATATTGATTTACATTGGTCATAATCTAGTTATTGATAAGAGTGACCAACTTTGTAAAATGGTTGTTGACAAATAACGGGAAACGAAGTTTTTTTTAGAGCATGATATGTTATGCTGTTTTTCCGTTTTTTGGTTATATTATTTTGTGCTCAGGTGATTGTGTTTGTTATAAATAGGCGTGTACATGGACATTCAAATAATTTAACACAAACTTGTTAGTTTAAATTTTCATTATTTTGTGAAGAAGGTATGATATTATTTCACTTTAGTGCTAAAAATAAATTTTAAATTCACTTGACAATAACAATGGAAATCAAGAAATTCATGAACTTTACATGGTATTATTGACGCTCTTCTAAAGTCGACATCTCTAATTTCCCTTCTATTGATTTCTTATCACTATTTTTCTATCTATCAAAGAGGGTATGTATATCATATCAGTTTCTTGAACCAGTTGAGATGTACTTATAACGCTTTGCCCAGAAGAGATAATGCAAGAAGTTAACAACACTCATGACACACATGAGCCAGTAAAACAAGTCTAGGCTGCTACGGTTAAGTTTTTCTCCAAGCCATGGGCTTTGTCCGGCACTCTCAGTGACACTGTTCACTATCGGAACCATCACCGAGCTTAGATAATACCCCAATGCTAAAGAAGCCCATGAGAGCGATGTAGCTAATGATCTCATAGAAGAAGGTGCTTCTGTGAAGAAAAACTCCAGCAATCCAGCTAATGTGAATAGATCAGCTGACCCTAGAAATAGATACTGAAACGCAATCCATAGGAAAGTGATTGGTAAGGTTTCTTTAGAGTCAAGCAATCCAGCTTCTCTAGCTACTTGCTTCCGCTTTAACTCGACTAATGCAGCCACTGCCATTGCTAATATCGAAAGGACTAAGCCTACACCGATTCTTTGCAAGTGAGTGATACCCATTTCGGATTTGGTTACCTTTCTAGCGAATGGGATAATCAGATGGTCATAGGCCGGAGCAAGCATTAGCATGAATACGACTGGAAAAACCGGTAAGGAAGCTGGAGGAATATTAAAGTTAATGATCTTTCTGTTCATCGTAGCAGCTTGGTGGACAGAGTAAGTAGAGAGTTGAGCTAAGCAGCAATTGAGCATTATGGTGCAACCAAATATTGGAAGCATTTTGAGCACAATCTTCACGTCTTCCACTTGTTGGACCGTGCATTCGAGCCATATATAGTGTGTTTTGCCCTCTATCGCTCTGTTTAGACATCTCAAGCTATTAGTTAGTGACTGAGAAGGCGTCTTTTTTCCTTGTTCTGATTGATCTTCTCTAGAAGCAAAGTGATTAAGTGGGCTCACAGAGAAATCGGAAACAACATTACTCGAAGTTTTACTCGAGCAACCAACTATGGAAGCTGCGAGAAGAACCTGTAGAGATGTTAGGAAACAACTATGATTCACCGGTAATAATAGAAAACATGTTTTTTTAAGTTACCTTCAAGATTGTGGTGAGAGGACTTCCACGAGGGATTTTGTTCTTATAAAACCTCGAACCTAAGAGAAAGACGATAATGGAGAGAAATATGGAGATGGTGGAGACTCCAAATCCCCACTCCCAGCCTTTGTTGTCCTCGAGCCAGACAACGAACGTCACGGCCACAAGTGCTCCACATGAGAGACAGAACACATAGTAGTTGAAGAAGGTGGATCTCTGTTTTCGACCTTTAGGCGTGCTCTCGTCGAATTGCTCTGCTCCGTGTGAAGGCAATGACCCTTTTATCCCTCCGACTCCTAGAGACACTAGATATAATCCCACGAACAGAAACGCCGCCTTTGAACCACCAACGACCTCGCATGGTAACGCCGCAGAGCTCTTGCATGGAGGCGGCATTAAAGACGGACGACGGGCTTGGATTGTGAGCAGGATAAGTCCCTGTACATGTACGTATAAAGACATAACTATATATGAAATTAATAAAATTCATATTTAATTTTAAAATGTAAACAAGACACACCATAAGACTAAAAAGAAGATTACATATAATTGAATTTTTTCCAATTAATATAACTAAAATATTTATGTGTTTATGGAATATCTTATTGATCTTTTAAAATTTTCAATATGACAAAAAGTAAATTAGTAAAAATGTGCAAAACATAAGAAAACAATAAATGAAATATATTTGAGTGTTTGCTTCCATGTTTGGAGTGGTCTTTGCTTCTATGTTGGATTGTGAAACTTTCTATATAATCAGTTCATATTTTAACTCATATTACTTAGAACATAATTTTTTTCAAATTTGTGTTATTCTATGATTTATACAATCTTTTAAAAAATTATTTTAGAGTTTCAACCCCAATTAGATAATAAAATTTAATTTATAATTGGTTCAATTGAAATTCAAAATAATATTTGCACAATTGCAAATTCAAAACATTTTATCAACTAACTCGTATATTACAAGGTCCTAATATAGTTTCTAGGGTCTTTTTCTAGTAATTAATTAATAACAATGAACCACAATTAACAACAAATAAAAATATACTTATACTAACCACATGCATCATGCATGATTATGAGATGGATCATGCCTAATCTATGGTGACTATTCTGTAACAACAAGCCAGAGAGCTCAAGTCTACTTCTGCACTACGCTTGTTCGCATGTTTGTCTTTCGTCAATTTTTATTAACATATGTGGCAAATTCGACAGCTCATGACAGAGATTATAAAGTGAATGTCTCAATTTGAGTAAAGCAGCTAAACCAGCGACCACATGCACAAGTACGACTATGACGGCCCCACTTAGAGATAATAATGTGGGGCTGGGGCCTAATAAATCAAACTCTATGCATAGATACGACAACGTATCATCTTACATCGCAAATAGGTGCACGCGTTAGCTAGATTTTGGCAACAAAGGTGGTGAGAAACGCTTTTTAAAAGTCAACCCATTTTCGTAACGATATAATATATATGTATATGTGTCATGTGTGTGAGTTATATATGATCATTAGTTATAAATGATGAAATTATGATTAGGAACTTAGGGTTTTATATAGTATGAATGGGTTAAAGCTTGGTGGTTGACTAATTTTAATATATCATAAAATAAAGATTGAGAAAGAATAATGAAGATTTATTTTAAGTACCAGAAACTCAATGGAGGCGGAGACGAGGAAGATGACGAATGTGGAGAAGAAGGCGTCGGCGAGGAAGCCACCGAGGAGAGCGAGAAGGAAGGCGGTGGCCATGAAAGTGGTCACTTCACTCGACGATCTCGCTAGAGACATGTGCATGAAGTTCTTCAGATACAACACCAAGTTGCTTGCGTTCGCTAAAAACGCTAGATTCTCCAATATCTCCACCGCTTCACAATACATGCACATGCACAAGAAAAACCAAAATAAAAGAAATTAATCACATGATTCTCAAGAGATGGATCAAGACAAGAGAAGCTAAGGAAAACAGGGTAAATTTGGAATTTTGAGACTGACCCAAGACGAAGGAGGCGGCAAGCATGCCGCCGTGACGGCCTTTCACGGCGGCTCTGTTCCTCCAGTCAGCGTAGCCTTCCCATTTGGAGACATCACCTTGCACTTCTACTTCCTGTATTTGGAAATAACCAAAATTAAAAGACTTTAGAAAAATATTTATTTCTCTAAATAGAAACTAACATCAGTACCCAAAAAATGATGTATTGTTCTTAAGCAATTGAAAATTGTTACAAAAAAGAATTTAGAATCAGAACAATATTAGATGTTTGAAGAACCAACCATTTGATTTCTATCAATCTCTCACAAAAAATTTGATGAGAAAAAAAAAGGGGAGAGGTCTTTGAATTATAAGTGAGGAGAAGGGTGTTTTCGGAATTTTCAAAAAGTAGAGGAAGAGTATTAAAGTGATTAGCAATGAGAAGTGAGAACGATATTGCAATTTGGTGATATTAAAACTTTACTTTTTGCTCCCACTAATTAGATTTTAAGGACCTAAAGATGATATTTATTAAGACTCGATAAAAAAAAAAGTAAGCAATTTGGTGGAAGAATTGATATACTATATGCTTTGATTGACTTGGAATCAGGTTACGGATAATACTTGGTTTTATTAATCTAGATGATTCGATGACTCACATTCGCTAAGATTTAGTATTATTAAAGAATAGTAGATTTTCTAACATCTAATAATCATTAATGTATTACTTTAACGTACTAAATCATAAATGTTTCTAAGAAAAAAAAAATAGAGAAAAGATTTTACAACGTAAGTGTTAAAATGTATATAGAAAAAGATAGAGAATAGATTTTTCATTCTGTTATCTGAATCTAGACGAGACAACACATTTGTGGATTTGATTCGTTTAAGATGTTTAGCATTGAGTTTGCTTTCTGTTAATAGAGGAGCAGGAGGATGCAACAAAATCCAAAATTAAAGTTGAGGAGATTATGATGAGGGGGAATCAAATCCCCACACTCAATGGGTTACAATTTTTTTTTTTCCATGTTGACCAAAAGATATACATCTAAACGTGTCATTAGTGTGAAGACCTAATGATTCCGTTACATGCTAACTTGATTTCTTTGTAGTAAAATTGGCTTTGCAAAATCGCCAAATGTCGAGCATTAAATACTCTTATTGGCAAATGTCTCCATGTATAATTTAACCGTTCACTTTTTTATATACATGCATGTTAATAAATGTTTAAATACCTCTGATAGTTTCACCAAGAAAAAAATACATTTAAGATTTTTCATCAAAAAAATATTACATTTAAGATGAAATTTAATATATTATAAATTTCTATACATCAAATATATATTAAAAAAAAAGCGACATTCTATAAAATATAAATAAAACTAAAGTTGGGATAAGCTCATTACAATACAGAAAACCCATTAAAAGACCCAAATAGTAGCCCAGCCTAGTAGCCCTACCTAAACCCAGTAATAGAACCTAATTTCGAACCACAGAGGCAAATCGTTGGAATCCCATCGGTGAGTTCGCATTGGTAGTTTGTTAATATTTTCATTCTAAGAAATGGCAAGCAAGGACCAAGCAGAGGAAGGCTCCAAGGAGATCACAAAGCTCCACGAAGATTACGAAAAGAAAGAAGGTTCAAAGGAAATGTTATAAACAATGAAGAGTTTTAGTACCTCCTTCCAAGCTTGTAAGATTAATTGATAAGGAAGTTCGCAACCGTTTTAGTACCATCCGAGCGTTGGGAAACTCCAACTACGAGGGGGGACTTCAATACTGGTTCCAAACACGCAGGCCCTAAATATTTAGTTTTCTATACAAGTTGTTAGAGTTATCTCAAAAATTTTAATTCTAAATGTTGCACTCATTGTACAAACTTTTTTGTTGAATACAATCTTACATTCATACAAAAAAAAAACAATGAAGAGTTTAAAAAATAAAAGGGATGTTAAAAACGTATCGATAATTACCACTTTAATTATATGTATACCAATTGAAACTTTAACCAAAAATGAATAAATTTTCTTTCCTTTATTATTGTTGTTTTAAATTATGTATGTAATAGTCTTTCATTATTATTAATCTACTACCACGTTCACATGAATATCAGAATATGTTAACACCCATGAAACTACTCAATAGTATAAGGTTTTCTGATATATGGACTGGAAAAATTAAGTGTCCCTTGTACTTTGTTTGTTTAGACAAGTTATTTATAAGTATGATCTTGATAAAGGCTCTATTACGAAAGAGAGAAGACGTAAAAAGATTATAAATGTGATTTTTTCTCATTAATCTCAAATTTGTGGTATGTACAAATTGGTTAAATTAAACCACTCTAGTAACCACTAAATCAATCTTCTTTATACGTCAATAGTCCCTCCCAAAATAAGCATCCTAAAATGTTGTGATCTCATCTTTGATTTGAAATGTTCAAGCTAATGAGGGAACAAAGGTTAGTGAGAATGTCATCCACCTAGTCATTAGTCTGCACATAAAACATTTTGAGAAGGCTTTTATCCAACCATTCACGAACCGTATGACAATCCAACTCTATATATATTAACCTAATGTGTATTTTATTTTATTTTTGATTGGTTATAAACATAGCCTCTATTACTTCATCACTCATTCCCCTCACGATATGTTGTCGCCAAGGTGAAATGCAAAATCATATACTAATATTGAAGGGATTCTCAAATTTCAGAAACAATGAAAGCACTAAATTCGAAAAGGAAAAAAAAAATGACAGATTATGCAGTGAGACGAATATTAAATTTAGATTATAATTTCTATTTGTTCAGGTCACATAATACACAACCCAAAAACAAGACATATAGTTTTATGTCGATAAACAAAAGCAAGCCAATATTTACTTACAGCACTGGACATTCACAATTTTCACAAAACCAAACCAAAAGAATCTGATGTTTACGGGAAAACAAAAGAATGCATGGGTCACTTTTAAAATTTCTGCTTTTCGTCAAACGTAGGACATATGTATTGTTTGTGTCACTTAAGGAAATATTGTGCCCACTTGCAATATAAATAGAGACAACAAAGTTGATTAGAGAGCATCTCCAATCCAACTTGCGAAATCATTCACACCATTTTTGAAAAAAATCACACCTATCGATCGGAAAAATGTAAAATCAATCACCTTACTAATTATTAACCACAAGTATAATCCCTATTATAGCAAAACAGCACATTCGTCTCCTTCTTCTTACCAGACACTAAAACAAGCAAAAGGAATCGTTTTTTCTTTCTCTTGTAACTTTTATGTTTCGTCATTTAGCAATTTCTTCTTTATAAAAAAGAGCCCCAACATTTGCAGTAATTGACTCATCGTTTCATTTACAACATTTATGAATGGAAAACTCAGACACTGATTCAGAAGTTTAATTTCTTTTGGTTTCAGAACCAAAGCCATAAGTTTCCTTCTTCTTGCTTTCCTCCGAGCTCTCACTCTGCTTTTTATGGTATATCTCTGTTCCACCACACTAGACTTTGTTTTTTTTTGTTTTGTGGTTTTCTTAAAAATGCATCTTCTTTTTTCACCTTTGACGAATCTTCATCCCTAAGATTAAAAGATTGTCCTTTCAGTTTAAAAGAGTTTGAAAAGAATAGTAAGAACTTTGAAGAACCTCATGTGACGACATATATCAGATTCTCTTCTATAAAATTTGTGTCATTCCTCATTCTCTTCTTAATTCAGGATCTAGCTCAATGATCAACACTGAGACTACCAGTACCACTATGGACGAAGAAGACGTTTGTGAGAGCTACATGATGCGTGAGATAACCAAGAAACGGAAGCTAACACCAGTCCAAGTGCGTTTACTAGAGGAGAGTTTCGAAGAAGAGAAAAGACTTGAACCAGACAGGAAACTCTGCCTGGCAGAGAAGCTAGGGCTCCAGCCGAGCCAAGTCGCTGTCTGGTTCCAAAACAGAAGGGCTAGATACAAGACCAAACAGCTCGAGCACGACTGTGACTCCCTTAAAGCTAGCTATGCTAAGCTCAAAACTGACTGGGAAATTCTCTTTCTACAAAACCAAACCCTCAAGAACAAGGTACATTTTTCGTAAATTAACAAACCAATTTTGTAGAGATTATTATGTTCAACAAATTGATGAAACATTCAAACAGGTCGCTCTTCTCAAAGAGAAGCTGCGAATGCAAGAGAATCTTGAAGCTCAGTCTATTGAGAGGAACAGACTTGGGGAAGAAGATAGTTGGGTGAAAAGCGATAACACGCAGTACAGTGAAGAAGAAGATTTGGAGAATCAATACAGTTTCCCAGAGCTTGCAGTTCTCGGATTTTGTTATGATCCAACCTTAACTGCTTCAAATCTAAGGTTGTGATAGTCTAGGTCAACGTTCCGTGTGCCTCAAGATATCTTCTCTGTCTCCATCCTTTTATCTTAGAGTTCATATTCTAAGAAAAAAGTAGTAATATTTTATTTTCATTGATGGAATAAAATATAAACTACATTGTAAGTTATGTCTTAAGTTATACTCCCTCTGTTTCACAAAGAGTGTCGTTTTAAGATTTTATTTTTGTTTCACAAAGAGGGTCGTTTTGTATTTTAAATGCAAAATTTTGAGTAAAAATTCAATTTTAACCTTATTTCTTTAATGTATTAATAAGAGAGATAATTTTGTTTAGTGTATTAATAAAGGATATAATAGAAATTTTAATAGTTTTTTTTAATATGTGTGTAAAAGTGTAGAATGACACTTTTTGTGAACAGAGGGAATATGAAATTTTATGAAACTGGACAAGATCATATTTTTCAATGACTAGATAAAATGAAAAGTGTTGCTTTTCAAATGGTATTTACCTCAATAATTCGTTTGCTACATTTTCAAATAAACCAAGAGAACCTCGAAATTAGAAAGTGAACACATTCCAATTAGTCAATAATTAAGCAAGTAGTAGAAAGAAGAATTGATTCATTTGAGAAAATGACTGGCACTATTTGATAATATATAATATATGATGATAAAAACTTAATAATACTACCATAATGTAATAATTAAACCTTATCACAAATCTTTATCCGAACCACCACCAATGGAAGATGTTCAAAACTTCAGACAAGAACCTATGAAAGTCACGTGTGCGTCGGATCAGATCCAAATATTTTCACCATCTACGTCAGCAGGACCTACAACATTTGTCGGAGTCAAATAACAACACGTGGCAATATATGAGTGGAAGTTAAAACAAATATGGATTTTGTGGGGTCCACCATCTATCTGGTTTGTCTCTGTTACAATATGGGCCTTGAGGCCTATGTTAAGCTGGCCCATTTACCTTAAGCCCAATTTAATTTCTATATTTCCGAAGAAAAGATAGAAAAAAACGCAACGACTCAGCGAAGTACGAGTATGAGCCGCAAGAGAGATAAACCCTACACATATCGTCACACACCGGCGCGTATTTCGAAACGCCGGCGACCATGGGCGCCTCCGTCATTTGAACACGATGAAATCATCGACAAACCGATCACCAAACCTCCGCCGCCACCGGCGCTGGTAGTTACAGGGCTCCCCGCCAACTGTTCAGTCCTGGAGCTAAAATCTCGATTCGAGATCTACGGTTCAATCTCCAGAATCCGAATCGATAAAGACGGATTTGGCTCCGTTTCGTATCGAACCGCCGAGTCAGCAGAAGCTGCGATTGCTGGTAGTCACGAGCCTTCTTTCGGTATCTCCATCGATTCCAAAAAGGTAACGAAAATCAAACGATGATTTTTGACCTAATCTGTTGTAGAGATTGGGAATTAGGGTTTGATTGGGTAATTGTGTGTTGCAGTTGGAGGTGGTTTGGGCGACGGATCCGTTGGTGAAATGTAGGGAAGGTGTGACGGTTGGAGAAGGAAAGGATAAGACGTTGTCGTCTTCGTCGAAGCTGTTACGACCTGTGATGCCTTTGAGAAAACATGGGAGAAGTAGTAGATTAGCATCAGCTATTGTTAATCCGAGAAGTGATAATACTAACGAAATTAGTGGAGGTGGCGGAGTTTTGACTCCGGCGACGATAAGGGAACTTAAACAGAGAGATATAGTAACCTACGACGATATCCTTTAACATCATCTAGTACAATTATAGTAACTTTTTTTGTGTTTCCGCTAAAACTTTGATTCTTTTACATTTTACGGTTTCTCAATTTTAGTGGGTGTTAATTTCACCTTTTACCAAAAAATAAAATTTTAGTGGGTGTAAAATAAAAAAAAAAAATTAGTGGGTGTAAGTTTGGTTCTTTCTCTTTTCAGAAATTGGACAAATTCTGTATTTTTAAGCGTGTAATTCTAAACAAATATTGTGAATCCGAGTTGAGTTTCGTTTACGTGTAGATGCTTATAGTTATAAAAAAGAAGGATTCCAAAATGGGTAGAAGATTCAAACTCGATGTTCATAAACCGTCGAATAAATTTTCAACGAAAATCGACAAAAATTCTTAATCCGGTCGAAGTCATACTAGTTTGGCTGATTTTCCATTACCAATTTGCAAACGATACGTTTGGTAATTGATACTAATCATAAATATCGATATGTACAACAGCTTCATAGCGATTATTACCATCAAAGTCAAAGTCTCTGTTTCGTTCTTTTATGTTGTCAAAGTCTCTGTTTCCTTCGCATCAACAACTCCCTGTGGTAGAATCTAATTCCCAAGCCAAAACCCTAATAAACTTCACTACGGCATCGTTTCAGCCACTTTGGTTCAAATATCGTAGTTAAGTCACTGCTAATCCTGGGAGAAAGTGGCACGACCCGACCAGGTCAACCGGAGACAAAAGTAGCCACGAGATTTTCAATCACGGTGTATCAACCAATCAACCATCAATTAAAACAAAACCCAGATTGATTGATTCCACTGAAGCGGTTTGAGAAAATGGCCGAACACGGTGAGACTCCAGCTGATGAAGAAGAAGAACAACAAGTATGGAGCTGGGGAGCTGGTACCGACGGACAGTTAGGGACGGCTAAGCTGCAAGACGAGCTTCTCCCGCAGCTTCTCTCTCTGACGTCACTTCCTTCCATATCAATGCTCGCTTGTGGCGGCGCTCACGTCATCGCTTTGACTTCTGGTAAACCTCTAAAATCTCTCTGATCAAAGGCATGTTGTTGGTTCAGTGAACTGAACATTTAAATTATGCTTTTTGCAGATGGTAAGGTCTTCACATGGGGAAGAGGAAGCTCTGGTCAGTTAGGACATGGAGACATCCTCAACATTACTTTGCCAAAGCTTGTTTCTTTCTTTGACGGCTATGTTATTACTCAAGCTGCAGCTGGATGGAGTCATTCTGGTTTTGTTTCAGGTAAACACGTTTATGGATTTTTGCAACTGGTTTAAGACCCAAGAGATTGATCTATCTCCCTTTTTGTGTTGTTGTGTGAGTGTAGATTCTGGTTGTCTTTTTACATGTGGCAATGGTTCGTTTGGTCAGCTTGGTCATGGTGATAACATGTCATTAAGAACTCCAGCTAAAGTCTCTTACTTTAGCAATGAGAGTGTGAAGATGGTAGCTTGCGGTATGCGCCACTCACTTGTCTTGCTTGCAGGTAACATCTGATATACAACACCGGTTTGCGAGAAAAAAGTGGTTTTCTCCATTTGATTTATCTTGTGTTCTTCAGGGAATCAAGTGTGCGGATTTGGATCTGGAAAACGTGGACAGTTAGGTTTCACATCAGACGGAACAAAATCAGTAAATCTTCCATGTGTTGTCTCTGGATTAAAAGATGTTGAGGTTACTCGTATATCAGCTAATGGAGATCATAGTGCAGCTATATCCGGTTAACCCTTAAGTCTCGTGTTCAGTTTCATTGATCGATCGAATTCTGTGTATCTTATGTTAACCTGTCTGCCTTCCGATGTGTCTGACCAGCTGATGGACAGTTCTTCAGTTGGGGAAGAGGATTCTGTGCTGGCCCTGATGTTCAAACCCCTCAGTGTTTGCCTTCATCTCTATCTTTCAGAAAAGTTGCTGTAGGATGGAATCATGCTTTACTACTAACCGGTAATTTCTGCGTTGATGCATTGATTACCTTCCAGAGCTCACTGAACCATTCATCTGTATGTGGATTTGTTGAACAGTCGATGGCGAGGTTTTCAAGCTTGGTAACACCCTTAATAAACAACCTGAGAAGCAACAACTGCAAATAGATTCCTCTGAAGCTCTCTTGGCAAAAGTTTCGGATTTTGATGGAGTTAAAGTTCTGCAAATTGCAGCAGGAGCAGAGCATTCTGCTGCCGTAACAGGTAAAAGAGGAGGGGAAACTCTGTAAACTACTTATTCTTTACACTTCTCGATATAAAACAAACAACCTTTGAATGTCTTGCAGAGAATGGAAAAGTTAAGACATGGGGATGGGGTGAACATGGTCAGCTAGGCCTTGGAAATACCAATGATCAGACCAGTCCTCAATTGGTGAGCGTAGGAAGTATAGACCTGCGAACGAAAGAGATCAAAGTATATTGCGGAAGTGGATTTACTTATGCAGTGAGGCGAAAACAAGGGCTTTCTTCGTCACCAACCTCTTCATAGACATGGATATATGACATCTTATGTGTAGAATTGTACAATGCAAGAAGCCAATTGTTTACATGACTCTTGTAAGAGGACAACAGTTATCGTATTAGTACAATATACAGATCTTTCTTACTTTCTTGTTTTGTCAAGATAAAACCTAATTCTACTGCTTCCTTGGCTACCTTACCCTACATGAAAGTGAAATTCCAAAAGAAACTAAAACCCTACTGATTCAGCTCATGCTCCATCGATGGTGTTCTGAAATATTGTTGCCTTTGATCTCAAGAGATGATTAGCAGATTGTTCTCATATCCACCGCAAGAAACAATGGGTCGAAGCGGGTCAACTTTCCACTGGCCATCAACTATAAACTTTATCTGTGAGGAAAATGTAGCAAGGTTAAGATTTTGGTTTGCCTCGTGAATGGGGAAAATGTTAGTTGCAGATACTGAGTTAATTGAATGATCTAACCTCATATTTTCCAGGATATAGCTTTAGAGACAAAGAGAAGACTCCGTTCTCTGCTTTCTTCATCTTCCTCTGGTTGTAAAATCATAAGGAAGAAAAACATCAAAAGAGAGCAATACAATTCCCAAAATGGAAGGCTCATGTCAAATTCAACAGAACACCCGATATGAGGCAGTTTGGTTTCCCTTATGAGATTAATCATGTTCTCAATTGATATGAACTGACCTGGGTAGACCAACCGTCAAATGAACCCGTTAATAGAACTTCTGAGGCTGAATTAGGCCACACTATGGATGCGGTTCGAAGCAATCGTAAAGCTCTATTAGCATGATCTATCCTTCTCTGTTTCTCCCGTACAATCCTCTGTGCATCTCTAGAAGAAAAAGAAATTAACCAATGTGAGAGACAATAGCCTAAGCTTCCTCCTATCTTTCCCACATAAGTAATGAATGAGCAAAGCATACATTATAGCCATCGCCATTTTTCCTTCAAGAACTGCCAACTTTGCTCGTGTAGACCGCAACTTATTCTGGGCATGTATGATCTCATTCTCTTTGAACTCCCAATCATCAGAGAGGTTCTCCAAGTTCCCAGAAGTTATCTCACTATCCTAGATAAAATCATAAACCAAAAAATAAGACAAATCGCAATCACTTATAGAATCGCTTCTAGTTTGATGGTAAAAATGTTTTTAGATGCCATCTGGTCAAGCAATTACCTTACTTGTCACAACTGTATCAGGAGGAGATCTAAGGGAGTGGAGAACAGAAGAAAGTTCTGACTGGAGATGTTGAAGACGGCTTTTGATATGAGTTTTATTTACATCTTCTGGGGAAGATGTAGTTCTATCTTTTCCATTCATCCTATCACCAGAATCCTTCTTCGTATCATCATCCTTCTTCACACCAGTCAAACCACTGGAAGAAATTTCAGCAGCTGTACGATTTATATATTAAGGCTTTAGATATTTATTTTTCTATCAAGTATTTATATGGCAGAAGACAGAAGACAGAAGTCACTCCATACCTTCAAAATCTTCATCAGTAAATCCAGCTCTCCTCATACTCCACGTCCTCCATGTTTCTGATGTAGGTGAATCGCTTAAGCCTGGCTTTCCTGAAACCGACTTGGCTCCTTGATACCTAGTTTGTGCATATTCACCTGAGCCTCGACTGCCGTCGACTTCTTGAATTTCACTAGCTGTCTTTTGAAAAAGGTAGGCAACACCTCAGGACGTAAACAGTTTATTCATCAGGATTATTTGAATACAACGAACAGCAAAGTTTGCAGACAAAAAACATACCACAATCCTGGAAGACCAAGGAACTGAACCATTTGGGGAGATATCATTCACGGCACCATTGCTTTTCCCATTCTCCCTCAAGCTAATCCCTAGACCCAAATTCCTTTCTTTCTCCAATCTAGTCAAAATGCCTTCTATTCCACTCTCATTCTCACCATCTACCGCTCTGATATAACGGAACCTATGTTAACATTCAAAAAGAGGTGTTTCCAGAGACCGATTATATGCACAGACTAAGAACTAAAAATTAGATGACTCACTCTGTTGAAGATGAAAGATTTGAGGAAAAATCAAGATCTCCATGACTCAAAGTTTTATCCATTTCTTGAGAATTACAGTCACGAAGCTGTTTTTCCATATGTAGTTCATGTGGCATGACGTTCTCGTTTACTTGGACCTTCTCTTCTTGTTCATCCAAATCCCATCCCATAGAAAGCCAACCACCTTGGTTTACAATTCTCTCCACAAGATCAAATCTTCCAGAACGAATCAAATCCTTCTTACTCGGAAACATCCCAGGCTTCTCCGAATTCTTCATAAACTCCAAAATCTCCGATTCAAGATCCTTACTTCCCTCGCTATCCCAACCCAAATTACGCTTATTACACATCCTCAAAACCCCATTACACCGAGAGCAACAACTTTTCTTCCTCGGCTTGACCTCAAGAAACCCTAGAACAGTAGACCCACAACCTTTTCTTGCAAAACGTATACAAGCTTTGGCCTTATAATTGGGATTAAAAGTTGAACCAAAAGAAGAAGAAAGAGGCAAAAGGGTATCGGAATCAATCATCGAATAGCGAGAAACAAAAGATGAAATGGGGCCGGCGTTGATAGAGACCATGGTTGAAGCATTTCGTCGAACACTTTGTGTGCGCTCTATTCAAGCGGTCCTCATCAAGAAGAAGAAGAGGTAACACGAAGCAACGAACAAAAACCTTCTGGGAAAAAGTGACACTAGTGTACGTGAATTGATTAAGCCAGTCAGTAATCTAAGAAGAAGCCATGTGACCGCACAAAAACCAAAGCTTTTTTTTT